GTACGCGCGAGAGGGAGAGGCTCAGCGAGGACCTCATCCTGAAGACATCACCTGGGAAGCGGAAGCCGCGCATTGGCTAAGCGGCGGCAGACGGCGCTGTGGGTTCGAGTGAGTGTATTTCTTCTGTTCTCCAGGACTTTGGTAACGGCTGGGGTCAGGGATCGGCGGTCTGCACTGGCACAGAGGGCGATCTGAGCAGCTGGACAACGACGGGTGCGGGCCTCTGGACCGGGAGGAGGCGGTGCCTCGCTCGTTCTGCCCAGGGGGCGGGAAACTTGGGGTCTCGGGCTTCTGGCTTCCCCTCGGGCCCCACGCTATTTTTTCTGCCGATAACGTTTTTTGTCTAAATACTGCTTTTTCTTGAGAATCCGGTGCAGATGCCGTCCTCTGTATGAGCCTTTTCCCCAGTACCAGCTGTAAAGTCTTCCCTCTTCTTCTGAACGCCGTTCCACTCGCCGTCTTTCCCGAGCGCTACCACCTCTCTTAAGCGCCCGACACCCCTTTCGTATTGACCTTGTTATCATCCCTGGGAGGCCTTCTGTGACTCCCAGACTTGGGCGAGGGCCCTCGAATTTCCCCTGATTATAGAGAAGTGGTCAGTCCCGTGTCTTTGTCCTCCCAGCCCTTGCGCGATGGGACAGGGACTATATCTAGACATTTCTAGCTTCAGTGCAGAGGGTACAAGTGCAAAGACCATTGACCTGGGAGTCAGGACCTCCCCAGTCAGAGTCGGGCGTTGCCAATTTCCAGCAGTGCGGTCCTGATTTTACCGCTTCGAGTTTGATTCCTCATCTGTAAGGTTGTTATGGAGGATTTATGAAAGGAGTGTGTGTGGGGGGGGGTGGTAGGAGGTGGGCCTTGTAAAGTCAAACCGTACAAAAGGGAGGAACTGATGAATTTGGGGTAGAGGAGTCTGCTGTGCCTAAAGGTACGAGTTCTGGGAAATGCTGTGTGGCTTGGAAATGCTTTGCTGTTTAGATTTGGACGTGCCTTGATGTACCTTGCTTGTTGAGTTTAAAAGAGGCTTTGACAATTGACTAATCCACTGCTCTCATTTTTACAGGAGATTGAGGACCAAAGAGGGAATGTGACCTCCCCCAAATCACAGAGTAATTGGTAGAGCTGGACAAGAACCAAACCAAATTGTGTAACTGAAGAGACCAGAGATCTTTCTGTTACACTCTTGGGAAGCAGACCCAAAGGTACTTTGGTTTTATATTGTTTTTTTCCCTTTTAAACACTCATCTTCTCCCCCACACTGTCTTTTCATTTCCTTTCTTCTTGCTTAGAATGTCACCTTCTTAGGGACAGAGGTTGTGTCTTATTCTTTATCCTATGTTCTCAACATCCAGCATGGGGTCAGGCTCATAGTTGCTGTCAGTTAATGATAACAGCCATAAATCTATTAAGCACATATTAAACACCAGGCATGTTACATATAATTAAGTCTTCATGACGACCCTGTAAGGTAGGTTCTATTACTCCCATTTTAGAGATGAGGAAACAGATTTAGGAAAGTAAATGTGCACCAAAATGGTGGCTGATGAAGGCCTTTGGGGATGAGTTTCAGAAACCAATTCATTTAATTTTTCCTCCCAGATCTTTGCAAATTATCTTGTGGGGAAATAATGCCCAAAGTCAAAAGAAGCCGGAAAGCGCCTCCAGATGGCTGGGAGTTGATTGAGCCAACACTGGATGAATTAGATCAAAAGATGAGAGAAGGTGAGTTGGGTGGGCTCAGTCCCAGGGTCACAGGCTTAGAACCCTCTAGGGGCCAGGCATAAAGGCGAGCAGACCGTACCACTGTGGCCTCCTGATGCTGACATGTTTTGTTTGCTTATTACTTAACTCATAGGAATACTGTAACTTCAGGAAAAGCAACAAAGCCCTAATGTAACCATCCTCAAAGTATTTGGGGGCCAGTTTGAAAGTAAAAGCCTTATGGCATGTAAATCAAAGTCTACATATAATGATTTCCTATTGTGGTTAAAGTCACACAAAATACATTTACTTGGAAAATCCTGTTTTCACTTTTACATTTTCTGAAACATTTTCCTTCAGATTTTTTTTTTTGTGTGTGTGATTCTCTGGCACTGCACTGTAACCATCGTCTTGTTTTTGCACCATCTACCAACCAGTTTTCTAGAACATACCATCTTCACTTCCTCTGAATGTTGTGTAGTCTTGTAGTTTGTGAATCAGTGTAGGGTACTGTTTTTGGAAATTCTCTCTGAAGCCATTAGCGTCTGTTGGTCTTAGAAGATCCATGACCAGTTACTGAACTATTTTTTAAAGCAGGCTTGTTTTTTTCCTTTTTAAAGCTTTTTGGTAGCTAATCTAACTCTTGTCATTATGAAGTCATATACCTACAGCAATAATTACAAAGTCAGTGTTGAATTAGACTGCCTTTTTTCAAAACAGATTGTTATCAGGTAACCTGTTCAATACCCAGAACTTGTTGTAATCAGGGTTATTTCGGGCTGAGAGATTTCTTCCCCAAGCAGATCTTTGTTCAAAATAAAGGAACTTGGAAAGTGCTTTAATAGAAAAGATTCTGTGACTCCTTATAAACAGAACTTTCTTCCTCTTTTAGGGGATGACTTTTTGGGGGAGAGTGTAAGGACATATGTGATTCCTTACCTCCCATTGTGTATTCTTTCTCCCATTTTTATTTAACCATATAGCTCTTCAGCATTTCTTTGCTTTCCCATTTTTGATACAATACACAGGTTTAAGATGTAGTTTGATGTTGCTCTTACTTCCACTGTCAAGAAAACCCTGGGTGGTGGGTGATACCAGACTTGGCTTCAGTGTCAGGAACAATAGGGAGCTCAGGATAGGGGCAGACTGGGCAGGGGCGGAAGCTGCTCGCCACCAGAACCCGTTGTATCATGTGGGATAAGAATCAGCATTGCCAGGATTGCTGCAGGTTTTTTTCCCTCCAAGACAAGCCAGAAATCCAGCTGTTGTATGTGAACTCTTCTAACTTAGAAGTATTTGAGAGAGGAGCCAAACAAAGCTGCCTTTCAGGCTGGCTAGGGCTGCCAGCTTCATTGGCGGCCTTCAGTGCAAGTTTTACCTGTTTTGGGGTCTGTGGCCACACTCCTATACCATGGAGGACCGCGTTTGGCCTTTGGCACAGGGAGGCCACAGCGAGTGGCATTCCCAGGCCGCTTTTGAGCTGAGGACCATTTACAGGACGCTCACTACCGAAGTGCTTGGTGCTGTTATCTTAGGAAGGGAGGTTCCTGTCTTCTTGAGTTTGTCCCCAGTATTCCCTGGCTCAGCACACCATTCAGCTCTTTGTATCTGTTAGCTCATTACTCAGGTTTTGTACAGTCACTGTTGTCCTTCAAGTTCCCAAACAAAAGGAGCCTGGTTATAGGGACTGAGAGGCAGAGATAGGGGAAATTATGTGTGGCAGAGGGTATAAGGGGGACTGATAAAGGTACTATCTCTGTAGACTGTAACCAGGACTTGTAAATAACTTTGCTTTTGTCAGAACTAGTTGAAATCAAACATAGTAAACATTTGCATAATGAACATTTATATGGACTTTTTAAGAACAGGACTTTAAAAGAATTGTTGCTCAGGTTTCAAAGTTACTGTGCAGTTTTTGGCATTAGCAGAGGCAAAAACCTTGGTCTGTACCATGATGCCCGCCACTTCTGGCCTCTTCATTCTCAAGCGTAGGCAACCACTAATCTACTTTCTGTCTCTATACATAGAATCAAACAATAGGTGGGCTTTGGGGCCGAGTTCCTTTCACTTGGCATAATGTCTTCAGGGTTCATCCAGCTTGTAGCTGGTATCAGTACTTCATTCCTTTTTAACAACTGACCAGTATTGCAGCATGTGATAATGTGGGTACATTACCTTTTGTTTATCCATCACTTGATGGACAGAGTTGTTTCTGTTTTGCCTGTTGTGACTAATGCTGCTGTGAATGTGCATATATGCGTTTCTGTGCACACATTATGTGCGTTTAGTTCTCCTGAGTGTCTACCTAGGAGGAGAATTGCTGGGTCCTAGGGTAACTAACTTCCTGAGGAACTAGCAGGCTGTCCCACAGCAGCTGCACCATTTCACACTCACCAGTAGTGCATGCGGTTCCAGTTTCTCCACATCCTTACCACTTGTCATTTTTATTGTAACTACCCTTGTGGGTATAAAGTAGGATTCGTTTTTTTATTCCTAGTTATTAAAAAATAACGCTATATCCTGTGCAGATCAGCCCTACCTGCCAAGACAAAAACACACACACTTGTTTCTCCCTAGCTGAGACAGAGCCTCATGAGGGAAAGAGGAAAGTAGAATCTCTGTGGCCCATCTTCAGGATCCACCACCAGAAAACCCGCTATATTTTTGACCTCTTCTACAAACGGAAAGCCATAAGCAGAGGTAATCAGCCAAATTCTGTTCTGCCCTTTTTAACTTGAGTAGCTTTCAGATTTGTTTACATAATGGCTCCATTCTTGCAACCTCAGCGTCATGGTTTCTCTTGCCACTAAAGGGAAAAGGGACAATGTTGGCCACATTTTCTTTTTGATTAAAGAAAGTGATTCAAGTGATGGACCAGGGGTGGGGAAGCTTTTTTAAGCCATGGACTGATGCCTTTTCCCCATCTTTTTGACAGAACTGTATGAATACTGTATTAAAGAAGGCTATGCAGATAAAAACCTGATTGCAAAATGGAAAAAGCAGGGTTATGAGAATTTGTGCTGCCTGCGGTGCATTCAGACAAGGGACACCAATTTTGGGACAAACTGTATCTGCCGGGTCCCCAAAAGCAAGCTGGAAGTGGTAATTTCTCCACCCCATAATGTCTGATGATTTACTTGCAGTTCAGAATTCTGCCCTAGTTGATGCCAAGGGATTTTTTTTGTTTGGTAGGAATATAGTGTGGTCTCTGTATATCACTCCCCCAGGGAAAGAGTCCCTCTGTTGAGGTCTCCATGGCTGTAGTCATGTCTGCAGACCAATTTCAACTCCAACTTCGGACAAGTTACTGAGATCCTCTTTATTCACAAAGTGGGGGCAGCGACACCCCACACAGGGTTGCACGGGCTAAGCCAAGGAAGGGTGGCCTGGTCAGCAGGAGTTCCCATCCCTTTCTGTTACAAAACAAGGCTGAGCAGCTCAGGAGTAGTGCAGACCTCTCCGAAGTAGAGCCATAGAAGGGATGCTGGCCATTCGTGGCCTGTATGTGGCCCCTTGGCTGACTGCTGTGGGCCTAGCTAGGAGGTCCTGCCAGATTGCCTACCTATCAGCTTGGCCTTCTTACACACAAGTGCCTCATCACAGGGTCCCTTCACTCTGTAGACTAATTTGTAGAGCTTGGGCTCAGGGCCAAGGGCTTTAGCTCAGCAGGTAGCCCTGTCTCCCTGAATCATCTGGAAGGTCAGGATGGGCATGAGGGAGTGAGGGCTGCCTTGAAGGCTCTGGTTGCTGCTTTTCTAGTGGGGGCACAGAGGATGGCAGAGCAGCAGAAGCTTCCCTCCTTTGAGGACCCCAGGGTTCTGTGGTGGCTTTTGGTCAGGGGTGCTTCAAGTCAGACTCACCACCAGATCTTGCAAGTTTAGATAAGGGTCTTGTTCTTCTAAGAAAGAGGAAAAAGTAATCACAGATCACTACTCTAGGCCTGTCTGCCTGTTGGACAGGCCCCCTGGGTGGACACTGGGCCATGTGTGGCCTGGGGACAGGACTGTTAGGCTGCCAGATTAAAGTTCAAACCCTTCTTTCCCCAGACTCCCACTAGAAAGTTCCCCAGCCCAGAGGAGGCTCTGAAGGCCCTGGTGCTGAGCCTCCTAGCAGTAGGGGACCCACAACCAGCTCAACGCAGAGTATGTCTTATTTACTTCCTGGAATAACAAGCATCATCCACACAGCTCTTGCTTTTTGGGGGGCAAGTGTGCACACTGCGTTTGCATAAATTAAATAAATGCACATACATAACTTCAGTGTCAATAGCAGCCGTTTTATCTTCACGAGGGAACCAAATTTCCCATCCAGAACTGTTAGGGGTTTCCAAGAAGTGTCCTGTAGGGAGTGAAATGTCCCATTGCCACCCTTCATGGGGGAGGATTACTGCATGTGGCGTGTGGGTGGTGTGGGGCACGAGGTGGTGGCACCATCCATCTCAGCTCTCCTCTATTGCAGGGCCGGATCATCGAGTGCACGCACTGCGGCTGCCGGGGCTGCTCTGGCTGAGGCCTACTGGCCCTGGCTTCTCTCCACTGTGGACTTTCTCTGCCTGTTGTGCCACCCACTTTCCTGGGAGCAGCTCCTCTCAGAGGGTAGTGCCCCAGGCCTGAATTGGACCATAGTCTCTACATCTGAAGGCTTTGGTGTTTATTGGCTGTGATTTGTAGAAATAAAACTTTGAAACCTCTGGGCATTGTGTTCATTCTTTCAGAGTGAGCAGTCTGTGGAGCCCAGTGGGAAGAGACTGGAGAGCACTTGCCCTTGAGACTCAGTCCTGACCTGACCTCATAGGTGCTGTGTGACTAAGCAAGTTCACTTTCCCCATCAGTGATGGGGATGATAACATCTCAGGCAAGGATGGTGTAAAAGGATGTGTCAGGCATCCTGGACCCAGCATTTGTCATTCCAGTGCCTATAGAATGGTGTAGCTGTTAGTCTGTGCTAGACCTTTTCCCGGTGCTTGAGGCTATACCAGCATATTCACCTGGCTTTAACAGGAAAGGGACTCCTGGGGCTCCCACAATGCACTGTGAAGGTGTGTGCTTTGTTCCAGTCCTGCTGAAGGTCCCCAGGGGCCTCACTGTCACCTGCTCCCAAGGCCTCCATCCACATCAGCCTTGGTGACAGTGTCTCGGTCCCCCTTGGGCTTGGTCCGGAACTTCTGCCATGGGTGGGGAGTCTCCTCTGCTGGCATCACTTTCAACCACTGCTTGTAATAAGCTCGGAAGCCATCAATCTTCTCCAAGTAGGTATTCTTCCCTTTGTACTGTAATTGGAAAAGCATGGGGTTCAGGGGAGCCATGATGAGCATCACACTACCTATAGCAAGTGCTGAACCATGGCAGCTGGCTTAAGCCTCAGGGAAGCTGTTCTTCCAGGTGGCTGAGCGGGGAGGGCACAAAAGCCATGGAATACCTGAGGAGCTTACTGGAGAGAAACAAAAGTGGCTGCACCATGGAGCAGACAGAGTCCCATCTGCTCACAACACTTCCTAAATACGTGCTGCTGTGCTCCTACACCCAGGGATGTCACCCCAGCCCCCCAAGCTAGAATCGCTGGGTGCCACCAACCCATAGTCTGCTGAGTGCCTCCCCCTGGGCACAGCCACTGCCTTCCTTCTGTCATCTCAGCACTGCTGTTATGGTCTCTAGAGAAGAGGAAGAAAAGGAAGAAACAAGATGGACCAGGCAGATAGCAAAAGAAAGCTGGTAGAAGAATACAGAGGAAAAAACAGACAAAAATTATCCAAGATGAAGACTGTCACCACATGAAGATAAAAGGATTAATTCAGAAGACTTAACAATTCTAAACTTGGATGTACCTGATGTAGCCTGAAAGTACGTAAATCAAAAACTTCGTAATCACAAAGAGAAACAAGTCCACTGTTGTAAGGGAGTATGAATGTATGATATGAATACAGTAAGCTTTAGGCCTGCGTTGTCTGGTGACTTGATTAAACCTGAAAAGACCCCTAATGGGTGCTACACTATAATGTGAAGAGACAATCCACTAACTGGAAGATACTTGCAATATGCAACCACCAAAAGACTAGTATCCAGAATACATAAAGAACTCTTGAGAAATCAGTAAGATAAAACTAACCACTAACTGTTCAAAGGTACACAGCTATGCCCTCTGCCTGGCATGTGCTCCACTGCTAATTCTTACTGAACCTTCAAAATGATGCTCAAGGCTGTACCTGCACAGCTGCCCAGACCCCTGCCCACACGGCATGGCGTGTCCTTGTCGACTTGCCTCCCTCCCCGTCAGGATTGTGCTCCTCCAGGCCATAGCTGCTCTGGAGGTACTCAGCACAGGGTCTGACTCAGTAACTAACAACCAAACCACCAGAGCCTGATAGCCTCAGAATGGCAGGAAGTGGCCATTACAAAACAGATTCTATCACTGCGCGGCAGCCATCCCAGTTCACTCAACAGTGTTGAGCACCTCTAGGCCAGCAAGACAGTCTCCATCTCTAGGGCCTTACAGTTCATGAGGGCCAGAGTCACACATGCACATGTAATTACAGGCTGTGTAATGTGTGAAAGGAACAGTGCTGTATGTAACAGCAGGGCATTTCTGCAGAAAAGCCACATAGGTGGAGACCTGTAGGATGAGAGAGCCTTCACAGTTATGTGAAAAGCAGGGGAGCTTATTGAAGGCACAGGGAATACAAAACCCTGATACAGGAAAGAGTCTGGCGGTATCTAGAAATGACAGAAGGCCAATGGGACTAACAGAGTGAACAAAGGGAAGAGTGGCCTGAGATGACCATGCCACATAGAGAGGGATTTGCAGACCTTGGTCTAAGGAGTTTGGGATTCCTCCAGAGGGAAGCCACTAAGAATTTAAAGCAAGAGAATGCCAATCCCAGAAGGCCAGAACCACAGAAAGGGGTATGGAGAGGGGGTGCTGGTTAAGGTGGTGGTGGGCATGTTAGATGTGGTGCACCTACCCGGTCAAAGGTGGGTGGGTACTGGGCTGCAAACTCCAGCTGGCGGATGACCACTTCATTCACCGGGACGCTGTTCTGCCTCATGTCCTTCAGAATGTCGATGAGATAGGTGTAGTTCAGCCTCTTGAGGGCCGCATTGATGAGGGTGCTATAGATGTGGGTATTGGGAGTCATCTGGCAATTCTGGAACATCACAAATACAATCAAGGGGATGGTGACATAGGACACAGTGTGAAGAAAGGTGGCCCAGTGTGGCACGTCCCCAATTTCTTGGGGAGTTCTGGCCAGTCACATCTGCTCTGTAGACCAGCAGCCAGAGATAAGGCAGAACCTTGTAGTAATGGTAACCTTACTCTCTCCTCCAAAAGGAAAGCCTATGTGCCCCTGTGGGCCCGTCCCAAGCAAGGCCTACCCTCTCAGCCCCAAAGAACTCAAGAGAAAAAGAAGTGCTGCTCACAGAGATCAATGGACTCAGGCAGTAAACTCTAGCACAGACTACACGCCACATCAGTGAGGTGTAGGTGGCTGACTGGCGAGGACACTAGGTGCCATCAGCCTGTGTGCCTTGTGCCCGTCGTCAGACCACCTCCTTGGCTCTTGGCTGTGGGTTTACTGCTCCCCTGCCCCCAAGAATTCTGAAACAGCCCTGCTCTGGTCATTCTCTGAATCCTTTCAGTGTTGGGGCCAAGACCTGTCTCCACTCCTCAGTCTCACCCCACTGCCACCACCTTCAAGATGGTAACACTGCTTGCTCTCAATGCCCACTCCTACAGCAGCTCCCTTTCCCCTTTTCCCCACATCAGGGCAATCACCATTCATTCTACACGTGGAGCCGGAGCGAACCCGCTCCCCCTGCTCCCACACACACAGTTTATGCTGCCTGCGTATACAGGCTTGCCTCCTAGCCAGCTCTCCTCCTGAACAGCCCCAGCTTGTCCCCCGGAGCCGTGGGTCCTGCCCAGGCCTGGGCCTGCTCACCTTCATGTCTGCAAGCAGCTGCAGACCATCCCGTCGCCTGTGGCACCCGATGGCCAGGTTGCAGAATGTCTGCAGGTTGGGGGTGATTCCCCTCTTTGCCAGAACTGGCAGCAGTGCCTGCAGGGGAGGATATGGCATCACCAAAAGCTGTAACCTACCAGCCCTGGCAAGAACCTTTTCTGGAAAAGCCTGTGGCACAGCTCTGCTCCAGGGCCTCATGACTCCCTCTGCTGACCACAGTGGGCACTGAACTCAGACAGGCGTTCAAGGGTCCAGCGTCCTGTCCAGCCACCTCTCAGAACCCAGTGCCCAGAATTCAGCCACTCTGCAAATACACCCTGCCTTCCAGTCTGCCTGTCTACATGCTATCCCTCCTCCCCAATGCCCCTTCTATTCCTACCATTTCAGCCATCTATCCCTGCACTCAGGCCTTATGTCCATCGAGCACCAGGGGTGTCGGGGACTCTCAGTCCTGTGGTCCAAGGCTGTGGCAAGTGTGGGAAGTGCTCAAGGAAGCCTGGACTGGGGCTGAGGAAGAGGATGCCTGCTTGGCCCAGCTGGGTCGGGGGAGCCCCAGGGAGGGTTCCCCCATGCTCAGTTGGTCTAGAGAAAGGTGTGCTCTGCACTGGGGGCCTGCAGGCAGGGGCTGTGCTATGGTCATCTTTAACACTCACGAGTGCCCAGGTCAGTATTTCTGGCAAAAAAAGGCAGGCACCACATAGAAGGTGCTGGATGAAGGGATAAAATCCCGTGAGGGCCCTGATGATTCTTATCTGTGAAATAGAGAAAGCCACACACCAGCAGGGCTTCTACTGTGGTTGGTAAAGAAACAGCAGGTGTGAAGCTCTTAGGACAGCATCTAGCACAGAGTACACGCCACATCAGTGAGGTGCAGGTGGCTGACTGCGAGGACACTAGGTACCATCAGCCTGTGTGCCTTGTGCCCCTCGTCAGTAAGGATGTGTTTGGTGTCTGCCGCCCAACCTGTGAGCTCCTCGGGGCAGGCAGAGCAGCTGGCTGGCTCACCAAGAGCTCCAGAGTGTCTGCCCACCCACTGCAGGAATGGCTGACACACCTGACAGGGGAGCCAGGTCTGCAGCCAGAGGGGCAGAGGAGTACAGGGGCAGAGGCCCAGGAGAAAGCCCAGGGCCTGCCTCAGAGCTGCTCACCTTTGCCCCCTCCAAGTCACCCTGCTTGCTCTTCTTCCTCATCAGTGTATTGAAGAATGTCACATCAGCCTCCACCTGGTGTGTGTCCAGAATGGTCAGCAGTGAGGAGTCTTCAGGGCCCCCAGGCTCAACCACTTCCGCCAGCAGTGTGAGGGTTTTGATGTCGGGGCGGAGCCCGTGCTCTGCCATCTTGCCCAGGAAGCCCTCCAGGCCCCCCATCAAGGCCAGCCTGTCAGCTGGTGTGGTCACGGTCCCAAAGGAGACAACTGTCGGTGGGACAGCCTCCAGGCCCAGGAGGCTGGCCTCCAACCCCCAGGAAGGCAGTTCCGGGGCCATGGGGGTGACAGCCACCATGCGGCCAGGTTCTACCTTGGTTTCCACTTCTGACAGGGCTTTGCCAGGGACTTTGGCCTCTTGAGATTCTGCAGGTCCCTCAAATGCCTGAGAAGGCTCCAGAAACAGCTGCCTCTCCAGGGCCTCAACATGCAGCTTGGCTGACCCACTGTTACCCACACTGGCCCGAGCTCTCCGCCTTGCCCACCGTCCATGTGCTGGGGACTGGAGCAGAACCATCTCCTCCCTTGGCCTCAGGAGCAGAGCTGAGGCCACTTCTGGGTCCCCCAGGCCACAGTCTCGAGCTGCCCCCAACAGCAGATTGTAGCCATGCCGGCTTGGCTGGAGCCCCAGACTCAGCATCTGCCTCCACACCTGCCCAAGAGAAACAAGCGTCAGCTCTGTGCTCTGTGAGAAGAGTCTCTGGCGCTGCAGGCCCTGGGTCACCCAGCCAGCAGATGCACAAGCCGTGGAAAGGACCACAGGCAGCCAGCACCATGCTCTGGATGGCAAAGAATGCTGAGAACCTGGGAACACTCCAGGACACTCCACAGGGGCACCATGCCTTCCCTCCCTCTAGTTCACCCCAACTGTTCTATAGTATCACCCCTCAGCCCTCTCCCCAGGCCCTGGTACCAAGAAGCAGACTTTGCCCTGGGTCTCTGCCTGCCTTCTCTGTATCCCCCTGGGGAGGGACAACCAGAGGCTAGGATCTGGAAGAGTCTAGGCTGATTTAAGGACTGAATTAGCTGTACTTCCTGAGTGTCTACTGAAGCCCTTCTCAGGCTTCCTTGAGACATGGAACAGGTATGAATGAAGGGAACTCGGCCAGGAAGAATGCCTCTCAGGCTCTGGGCCCAGCAGCCCTGTTTGCTGCTGCTCCTCTCGATATGAGATTGTGTTCACCCTGCAGCACAGTGTCTGGTTTACTTGCTGTGTTCTCCCCAAAGGGCCACTCTAATCATGTCTGGGTCACTCTGACACCCGGACTGTGCTGCTTCTAAGATGCCACACAAGGCTCAATGGTCTCTCTGGCCCCTCCGCCTGTAGGCTCAAAGGCAGACCACATTCACTGGGGCTGAGCGCTCCCACCTGACGAGTGTGCAGATGAGGCATGGGCTGGTCAGGCCCAGGTGGTGCAGCACACAAGAGGGCCACTGCCCAGTGGACAGGGTCTTGAGGAGGGAAGCATCTTGGCAGCAACCTCCATGGGGAACACGGACAGAACTGAGGATTGGCAGGACACAGCAGCAGGGATTCAGGCTCTGGAATCAGATGGACCTTGGTTCAAATCTCACCTATAGTGCTCAGTAGCTGTGGGACCATAGGTGAGTTACTTAACTTCTATGAGCCTCAGTTTCCTCCTCTGTAAAAGAGGACTCATGGTGCCTTGCTCAAGCAGATTAGCAAGTATGCAGCACAAACTGATTGTTAGTATCAAAGGCTGTTTCTAAATAGAACAGATCTAGGCCAAGGAAAGGGAGGAACCAGACCTTGGCCAGAGGATGGCCAGTAGCCACTGCTTCTAGGGAGTCTGCAGAGGGGAGGCAAGCATTTGGTCCAGGGTTGTCCCAGATCCCTGGAGCTCAGATTCTGAGTGGACCAACTATCTGGTGGTCTTGCTGACATGCCAGTCTGGATGCAATAGGCCAGGGTGGGACAGAGAGCCTACATTCTGACAAGCTTCCAAGTGAGGCTGATGCTGCTAGTATGTGGGCCCCACCTTAAGTGGGAGGCCCAAGGTGAGCTCCAGTCCTTCCCAACTCAGAGGAGCTAGGAAAGCAGCCGTGGTGCCACTGCTTGGCCTGCCTCCCGCCTGACCGGGGGGTTCCCTCTGGGGATCTGAGGTGGAGTCAGAACAGCGTGAGAGTCTTTCAGGACCAAAGGCAGACTCCAGGGTCCCACCTGCAGAGATGCTGAGTGGGAGCCCACGGGGCTTGGCTTGAACATGCACCACAGGTGAGTATGCTGTAGGCATTCAGAGACCGGAAGCTTGGCAGATCTGGGCTGCTGCACAAAGGGCCACCCAGCAGAGTTGGAGAATATGAGCTGGCTGTGCCCCCACTCACAGGGTAGCCATGTCACCTCCAAAGGCTCCTTTCCCTGCCATCTGTAAAATGGGAAGAGCAGTGCGCTCTGGGAAGGCTGAAAGATCTCAACTGTAAAAACACCCAGCACAGGGCAGTAGCAGTGTTCAAGAAAAGCACACAGGATCATCACCTACACCCCACACAGCATGCAGGGTAAGGGCTGCAGGAGAGGCAGGGAGGCAGAGCGGGAGGGACAGACCTGCAGGGCATATCGGAAACCCGTCTTCTTGTCCTGGATGCAGCCCATGAGCAGGAAACTGAAGGTCTCCTCTGTGACCACGTGCCCTTTACGGACGATTTCCTGGGAGAAGGAACACGGCGGTTTGTTGAGAACGCACGGCAGAGCCAAGGCCCAGCCTGATGGGTCTGACTTGGGCAGAACCACGGAGGCAGGCCCAGGTGTGCACATCTTGAAGAGGCGGGCCTGCATCTGCTATGTGGCTGGTTCAGAACCAGCCCTGGAGCACAGCTGTCCTACTGTGGCCTGCGCTTCTCTCCTGCCCAGACCTTTCTTCCTGGCTGCTACAATTGTTTCTGTGCAGCCCCTCTGCAAAGACCACCCAGCAGCCACTTTTAGCTGCTGTACTGAAGGCACTGGGACTGCACAGAGCTGACTTCCAGGCCCAGCTTCACCCCAGGCCAGCTGTGGGAGCAGGCAAGGCGTCAAATCTGTTTCCTCATCTGCCGCGGGATCACGAGCAGGACTTGCCCTGGAGAATCCTTGGAATGACCCTGAGGGGTGGTGCCTGCACAGGGCAAGTGCTCATGGCACCAGCTACAGCCAGCCAGGGTTAGCTGCTGCTTGGAGATGCTCCTGGCACCTCTCAGCCCTGCTAGGTCTCTTCCTCAGGCCCGTCTTCTGTCCCTCTCATCAGGTGAGTGCTCCCGCTTCACCCCTGCTGCTCTCCTGCCTCTCCTCTGTCGCCCACCCTTCCACCTCAGGCAGCCTGCAGACTGGGCTCTCCTCCTGGACAATCGCAGCTGTCTCCCATCAGCCAGAGCAACCTGCCTAAAAACACCCATCTGATGTCTCTGGACAAGTCAGGCCAGAGGCCTATAAGCCACACTGCCCTATTCCAAAAGCCTCAGGTACCTGCCTTGCACACAGCACCCCGTGAACGGAACTGTCACTCACAGGGAGGTCTCCAGGCTCAAGGCCCTGTGGCCCTGCCTTTCTGGCAGGGTAGGTCAGCTGAAGGCAGCCAAAGGCTGCCCTGCTCTATGTGGTGCCCATACAGTCCATTGGGCACTCCTTCCTGGGATGGGCAGGTGGGACCTCATGAGTAGGTCAGAGATGGAAGGAGCAAGACAGGCAGAACATCAAGCAGAGAGAGCCCTGCCTGCCAGGCCTAGGATAGGGCTGCGGAGGGCATGCTGTGCCAACACTTCCTGGATCTCCTGAGGTTTGGTGTGGGGCCCTAGGACCTTCCCTGCTGGCCATAAGCCTTTGGTTAGGTGTAACTAGTCTGTCTCACTTAGCTGCAACCTGAGAAGGCAGAATCGCCACACTGCTCACAGTCCTCCCAACTTCACCTCCTTATTCTCCTTGTTCTCTGTGAACTGGGAATAAAAATCCTTCTTGTGGGTGGCTAGGGAGCAGGAGGAGGTGATAGAGATGGGCCCCCGCTCAATACCCCCACACCTCCACAGCTGCTCCCTCAAGCCCGGCTCCCCTACCACTGGACTCCACAGCTGCTGGACACTGGGGCTCTTGCCCTTCTGCTCCTTCTAAGCAGGAGGGCCTCCCTGGTGAGCACGGGCTCACCTTTAGCACTGTGCAGACCACCCTCCCCGCAGGACCACCAAGTCCTACATAGCAGGATACCACTCTTGGCACTGCATACAACCCACTGCCCTCACAGGGGCCTTTCTATCAGACAGGCCTCAGAGCCAGAGTCCTCTGTGAACCCAAGCCCAGTCTGGGTCTGGACCCCTCATCGGCCCAAGCCGTCCTGCGTGAGGGATGCAGATGGCCACAGCCTCACACCTGCCCCAGAACCAGCAGGAAGGGGCACCCCCCACCTTGAACACATCGAGGCACATTCTGAGGTCTGCACACATAGCAGCCATCTTCAGCAGGGCATGATACGTTTTCAAGTTGAGCTGGAAGTTTCTGGCCTGGAGCTGCTGCCGTAGTTTCAGGGCGCTCTGCAGAGCGGAGTCCTTCCAGGGGGACTCAGCACAGACGTTGAACAGGGCTGTGTACGTAGCATCTGAGGGCTCCAGGTCCCACTTTTTCATCTGTAGAGATGGGGAGAAACTTGGAGATGGCTTTTGATCAGCTGGAAACAGGTGAGAGGCTCACCGGGTGGAAGCTAGAGACTGTTACTGCATTAAACAGGTGTGGGAGCTGCACCCGTGTTCAGGCAGAGCCATGTAACATGTCAAAGCCCAGCCCTCCAAATCAACTCAGCCAGAGGGAGTCTGAAAACTGAGTCCACAGCCCCGACGCACAAAGCAAGAAGCCACCCATGCCCTGAGGCTCGTCCACCTCCCTCTGGGCCTGAGGTGCTGGCAGCAGGCTCCTCCCAATGCTAACACCCTCTGGCTGATCAGGCCGCCATGATTGTTAAGGTCCACTGGGTGGATCTGGTCTGGAAAAGGGCGGGAGGGGGCAATCAAATGTTAGCTCTAGTGTTCACTGAAGGGCCAGGGGCACGTTAGCTCCTCATTGGAAAAATGGGGATGATATCATCACCTTGAAAGTCTGTTGCACGGGTCAGGTGGGAGAGGGGCTCCTGGAGCAGCAGCAGGAGCGTGTGAAGGCAGCCCTTTTCAGGCCCCAGCCATGTGAAGCCACAGACCTGGGGCGAGGCCAACACTCGAGTGGGAGAAGCTGCTGGGAAAGCCAAGCACCGTTTCCCAGAGAAGGGCCACCTGACTGAGAGGGCAGGCGACAAGCTGCTGCGGAGGAGTGTAAAAAGCTTTGGGCTTCCTTAAAGTCAGGCCATTTGGGGTGCAAATTCAGCCCCAATGTTCCTAAGCAAGGCAACCTTGGACATGGCACTTCATCTCTCTGGGCCTCCATTTCCTCATATGAAAAATGAGGACAGGGATCCCAGCTTCAGGGAGGACATGCGCTCTGTGCATTCACATGCTCGGCAGATGTGTCCTAAGGACCTGCTCGGAGCCAGGTACTGGCCACCACCTACCAGGACAGGCACAGCCTGGCTTCAGTGAGCTTCTGCTCTAGACAGCAAAGCACCCAGCAGACAAATAACTCAACAGTAACAACAGCTATGGAGGACACGCCCAAAGCAGAGGATGGAAAGGGAAAGCAGCACAGGTGGAGAAACCTGGCAACCACCACTTTCCACAAGTGACAAAGGTAAATGTCACCTGTGATGAGTCGCGCTGACACTGTATACTCCCTGATATGAGAAAGGTGCTTGACCTCTGTGATCTCCTTTCCCAAACCCATAATCCCAGTCTGGTCATGAGAAACTCCAACTGAAGGACATTCTACAAACTCCGTGACCAGTGCTCCTTAAATCTGTCAAGGTCATGAAAAACAAGGAAACTCAGAAAACATCACCAAGTGGAGGAGCCAGGATGGGGAGCCAAACTAGATACAGGACTGGAAAGAGCATATTAGTGGGAAAACTGGTGAAACCCAAATAAAGTCTGGATTTAGTTAAGAGTGATGTACCGAAGGTGGTTTCTGAATTTTGACAAATGAACCATCTTAATGTAGGAAGTTAACATGGGGGTTAGCTGGGTGAGGGGCATCTGGGAACTTACTATACTAACCTTTGCAACTTTTCTATAAATCTAAAATTACTCCAAAATAAAAGGTTTATTGAAAAAAAAAACAGCAAAGTGACAGAGCAACTAAGGTTAAAGAGAGTGGCCTGGGCTTCTCTGAGCAGATGACATGTGGGAAGTCACTTAAGGATCCTCCAAGTGTAAGAAAGTGCTGCTGCTGGTCTGTTAACCAAGAACTGCAATAAACAACCCCCTCACTTAGCACCCTGAAGCTTTTCTGCCGGCTACTCAGTCAGGGAAGCCTCTTATCTTTTTATGCCATGACACTGAATTAGGTCTTTCAAAGAACATGTTATTATATCTTTTGTACCTGCGATTTCTCCCTGTTGCTTCCAGCTAGAAATTAGGCCTGGAGCAGGAATATCTCAAGTGGCAAGACCAGGGTTCCCAAAATCTCTTGCTGGGATAAAGGATGTTCCCAAGTTCTGGCTGCAGGAGAAGGTGGGGCCACTTCTGCTGGAGCCTACGGTCCTCCCAGGCAAAGCTCTTTCCTGACTCAAGAAGGAAACAGCTTCCTGGCTCTAGGAATGACAAATATAACCCCAGAGGTGGGTGACTATAAAGTAGAACTATCTCCCAAGAGGAATAGAAGACCTTTTTCAAAGGACCAGCTTTGGAAGAAAGGTGAGTGTGCGTGTCCATGGTGTTGGGGTGAAGGGGGACATGAAGAAACTGGAAGTAGCAGGGGAGAAGGAGGTGGGATGGGTGGGGCCTGCCAAGGTCCCCAGGCAGGTGTTGGAGGTCTTTCCATGCCATCTCATGTAATTACCCAAGGTCGCCTCCACTTCAGAGATGAGGAAACTGAGACTGAGGAGATAAAATCATCTGCCCAAGGGAACACACTAGCAGGTGACATTTCAGGATCTGCACCCCACTCTTTTTGGTCCCAAAGCCAATGCTCTTTGGGGCCTCGCCCCACGCCCACACTCACGTCGTTGTAGAGCCTGAAGGCCTTCTTCAGGTAGCCAGCCCTCCCACAGCCACCAATCAGCACAGTGTAGTTGCACTCGAGGGGCTGGAGGCGCTCCTCCTTCAGCATCTGCCTCTCAAACAGGTCCAGGGCCTCAGCCAGCTGGGGTGGGAAAGGGAGGGGCTCAGGGTGGCCTCAGAGGCCCTGAGCAGTGGGAGGGACCCTGGGGCTGAGGGACCCTCCCTAGGACCAAGACCAGGCCTGCCCAGGAGCCAAACACCCAGCCTAGGTTTTTGGAACCAGACTCTTGGTCCCTGTGCTCTGCACCAAGGGAGCTTCATGGTAGCCAGGAAGAAAAGCCCCCCTGACTCCTACCTACGAAAACTCTCAGCCCCACTGCCATGGCTGCCTTCCTTCCAGAGGAAAGGTGGATTCAAGGGTGGGGCCATGTCTTTGCATACCCATGGGCCTCAAGTGGAGAGTGGAGCCAGGGCCTGGCACTCATGAAAACGTGAATTCCGTGAATCCTAGGGTCTGCCCTACCCCGTTTCCTTGGTGATCTCACCCATGCCAGCCCATGGGTCCGAGATGGATGGCAGGCCACTGTGCCACACTTGTCACAGGGGGTCACTCACAGCATGTGTGTCCTAAGATGTAACAGGACAGCAGCCCTGGGTGACCAGCTCCCTCCAAATGCGAATTCCGTTGGCCCGCTGCCACCTGTGTCCTGTCCCTACTCCTACACCATCTCTTTTAAATCTTTAGTTCATTCCTTTACCATTTTGTTTTTTCTATCCATTCATTTAACCAGAAATTACTGAGTCCTACTCCGTGCCAGGCAGGGTGTATTTGCTGGGGATACAGCTGTGAATCAAGAGAAGCTCCCTCACAGGACGCATCTTCTAGGGTGGAAAGACAGATGCCAAATGAGATAACTAGAAAAACATATGGTACTTCAAATGGTGATTGATGTTATGGACCAAAATAAAGACGTGCCATAAGAAGGGCGTAGGAGATTCAGTTTTAGATACAACAGCCAAACATGGCCTCCTCCAGGTGAGAGGTGAACACATCTATGAAGGAGGTGCAGAAAGGAGCCTCAAGGCCACTTGAGGGAGCAGTCAGTACAAAGGCCCTGAGGCAGGAGTGTGCTTGGGAGCTGGAGGAGCAGAGAGGAGGCTGGGGCAGCTGCAGCAGAGTCAGTGAGGGAGGGGAAGATGAGAGCCAAGAGGTAAATGGGAGGGGTATGGAGGGCAGATCTTGCAGGCTTCTTAAGCCATTGTCAGAACTTTGGCTTCTCTGTTTATTTCTCAAGTCTTCATTATGGGAAAGTTTGAATAACACAAAAGTAAAGAGAACATTATTACCATAATGATTATTAACGTTTGGCCAATCTTGTTTCATCCATACTCTGCACTCCCCAAACTGAATTTTTTAAAGCAAATTCCAGACATACTATCATTTCATTCACAAAGTCTTCCAACACGTTCCTCTAAGAGACTTAAATGCCAACGACCTTATCAGTACCTAAGGAAACGAACACCAATGTCACTGAATACAGCAACAGTTCTGGAGAGAGGAGCGACGTGATCTGCTTTTTGCTTTGACAAGACAGCTCTGTGCTGCAAGCAGACATGGGCAAGAGGCGGCAAGAAAGCAGGACAAGTGCTGGAACAGCTGAAAGGGACAAGGAGAAGGCTAGGCGCAGGGGTGCAGGGCTCGGGTTTCAGGAAGTGTTAGCACTGGTGACATTTTGAGGCTAGAGCTGGTGAGAGAAAAAGGAGTTAGGAATGACTGAAGGCATCTGGCCTGGTATATGGAATAACAGGGTTGCCATTTAGTAAGAAGAACAAAGTGTAAGGTTGGGAACAAATATTCCAGGCGAATGTGTAGGGGAGATGGTGAGGAGATCCCTGGATATGCAGATCAGGAGTCCACGGACATGAGAACTGCGGCAAGGAGGGGACCCTGGAAGTCTCCAGGAGGTGAGTCAAGACAGAGAAGAGCCCTAAGCATCCCAACATTTAGAGACTGGGAAGGTAGGGGCTCCTCACAAATACTGAGCAACTAGGGAAGCGGGATCCTCACCTTTCCTTCCTTGATCAGGTGTTTGCACTGAAAGAAGTACCAGTAAGGGGTGTTTCTCCGGCCCTGCCACGATTTTGGCTCCAGCTCCCTTTCCTCATCTTCAACACTCTGTTCTCTGAGCCGTAGGTTATACAACTGGGCTGTCGATTTGCGGAACAATCTCCAGGAGGAGTATTTGGTGGAAATTGTCCCAAAGCTCTCCTCCTCCTCCTCTTCCTCCTGAGTGGCGGTGGGGCCGGACTGGCTCTCCGAGCTGAGGCTGCCCATGTTCTTCTGGCTCCCTTGGCCGAGAGGCAGCTGAGAGACAGAGCTGTTGAAGGCTGCTGGCGCTGGCCAGGTCAGCCCCATGGCCCTCAGCCACGCAGGTCCCTCTCTGCCTCTTCCCCACCTGGATTTGAGAGGGCCAAGGCATTGCAGGGCACACAGGCTCACAGGACGGGGGCCAGAGAAGAGCCGGGCAATTCTCATGAAGTCCATCTCCAGCTTTCCCCTCCTGGGCCTGGCATGGATCCAAAAAAAATAATGAAGTCAACTTAGGTTCATAATCACAAAAGGCAGAAAGAAGACAGAGATGTGGTTACAAGTCCCAGCCCTACGATTAGAAAGCCCAGGTTCAGATTTCAGCTTTGCCAAACAACCATCCATGAGTTCCAGGGCACTCACTGCTCTGGCCTCAGTCTCCTCACCTGTAAAATGGGATTAACCTTTGCCCACACTGCACTGTAACAATGATCAAATGAGGTCTCAGATAATACAACATGTAGCACAGTGCTGGCACTGTAAGCCCTTGATAGATACAAGTGAATGATATTATCAAGCCATGATCCAAGAGATGGGGCACTGAAGCCAGAGCCGAGTTTGAGTTCTGGCCAGAGCTGTGTAACTGGGCCCATTACTTGACCCTCCTGCACCTGGATTTCTTCAGCTGCAGGAGAATAATCTCTCTCACCTCACCACAACATTATGAAAGTTATGTGAGATGTCCTTAGCACAGTTCCTGATTTTTAGCAGGTGCTGAAAAATTTGTAGCTATTATTTATTATTAGGAAAAGCATTCTGGGCCTCTAATGCAAGCATTTCTTTCCTGCAAAATTCGTGGACAAATGGGCCACAGCTATAATATCCAATGTAATAGCCACTGGCCACCTGTGGCTGCTTGAACGCTTGAAACATGGCTAGTCTGAACAGAGAGGTACTTCAAGTGTAAATCAGACATCCAATGTTACAGAATTTGTACAAAAAAAAGACGGCGAAATACAGAATAATTTTTTTACACGTTGAAATGACAGTATTTTGGCTATACCTGGCTAAAGAAAATTTAACATTCATTTCACAACTGTTTAACTTAATGGGGATACTTGAAAATTTTAAATTACTTACATACTCCCATTGTATTTTTATTGGACAGTTAGAGATCCTGGTCTGTATACCAGCAACTTTTTTTTGAATTTTTGAATTAAAGTATCATTGATATATAATCTTATGAAGGTTTCAAATGAACATTGTGGTTTCAACATTCACCCATAATATCTATCCTCACTCCCTCATTGCAGTCACTGTCCATCAACATAGTAAGATGCTATATAGAGAGCTGTGACCTATCTTCTCCGTGCTGTACTGCCTTATACTGGATACTCTTTTATACAAAATGTCAGAACAGCCAGCATGAAAATACGTTAAGGTCCAGTTATATTAGATGGTCACCACTGAGAAGACCCCAGAAGTGACGGCAGATTGAAGAGATTAGTAACTGTTCCTGGGAGTCCTGCAGCAGGATGGTAGGCCAGACCGGCCGCTGCTTTGAAGCCAGGTCCACATAATAGACACCCTCTTCTGGCCAGCACCCTAGTGACACTAGGGCAGAGAGCCTTTACCAGTCCCTAACTGGCGATGCTTGTGACTCCAACAGAAATATAATGACAGCACCTAAGTAATTTAAAATTTTCAAGTAACCATGTTAAATAAAGTGTTTGCATCATTACATGAAATACACAGGATTACAAAAAAATACAATACCCAATAATGTCAATAGTGAAAAAAAATTTTTTTTAACTTACACTATACCAGTATATACGCCTCTTTTTCTGCACACTAAAAAAATGAGACCCTGTCATCTTGTGAAAGTGTTATGGAACATGGACTGGATCGCCCGAAAGAAGAACCAAATGGCACTTGGAGGTCAAGGAGGGTAGGAGGTTTATTTCACACCGGTGGGCTCAGAGGAGAGTGCTCTCCAAAGGTCTGAGCCCCCAAAACACAAGCAAGGAAAGCAATTTATACTTTTCTACTTCCTTACACGTGGCAGTTTGGGGCATGTGGCAAGCAGGGTAGGAAGAACCCAGAAGAGCCCTGGGGGAGAAGGGAGGGACTGGAATTCCCCTGTTGGCTCTATTGGCCATTTTGAAGCAATATCCTCACCATTCATGTTTTCCTCATCATTCCCCCCTCTGATGCCCCTCTAAACATTTTGTTTTTAGGGGGCATCATCTTGATTTATGATAGACTGGTAGCTTTGCAAAGCCAGTACACGAGCGGTGGCTCAATTTACGACAGAGTTTTCTATGAATTTTGTACGGGCATTTAGTATGCAGGGGCCCAGAGTGAGGAGGAGGAGGATGGAGACAAAGGGCCCAGCCAATGGGAGCAACCAGGAGGACCACTGGCTGAGCCCCCATATGCCCTGTTTCTAATTCATTTCTCCTCTTTAATATTTTTTCTTTTAGTTCTTTGATTTTTTTTAAGGATATAAACTAACAAACTTTACTATGAAATATGTTAAAGTTCAATTTCAAAAGAACAAAAAGGGCAGAAACAGAAAATGTAACAATGACGAGACACACTCTCTTGATAAGCTGCTCTTACAAATCAGCTGAAAGATGAACATCCAACATGCAATAAACAGAAAAAGAATATCCTACTGCAGATTTTCATCCAATCTAGAATGCACTGGATGCCAGATGCCTCAAAATTTTATTTACTACTGCAAAAGAAAATAATAGTCATTTAAACTATGACATGCCATTTACTTTAGGATGCATTACAAGATGCAATTTCACAGCTGTTAAAGTATGAAAAAAATGTGTGTCTTAGAAATATTGAAATGCAGTTAGTTCTTTGATTTTTGTGGTTACTCTTTCTGATTGGTTTACATAGTAACAGCATTCTTCTCCTAGGACAACAGGTTACTTCCTTTTCAGCCATGAGCAGGTCTAGGGCTTGCAGGCCGCAAGTGAATTGATCTGACCTTGTAAGGAAAGGAGTCTGCAACCTTTTCCATGTCCTCGTTTAGCTCTTGGGAAAGTTTGTGATAAAAATGGAGTGAGGAGCCTAGGCCGGCTGCCCCTGCTCCGATTTCTGCGAGTGTTCCTGCACCCAACAGAGCCCCAATTACAAGTGCCTGCTTTTGTATCTTTGGAAGGGGGTCAAGGGCCCACTCAATTTCTTGGTCAGACTGGACAGACATGTCGGGTGTGAGGTGGTGGTGGTGAGGAAGACCAGCATACACAAACCTGTCCAATTGACTTGGAGACATCGGAAGATGGTACTTCGACACAGGAGGAAACTCCTGGGGGAGGCACAATAAGTTTCTGACTGGTTGGTGGTTTGGTTTTTGGAACACAGCTGGGCCGGTACAGAGCCACAGCTAATGTTGCCCACCCCTGGGTCGGTCAGGAATGTTATATTGCCTGCATTGAGGAGGAACTGAATGTTGTAAACCACTGGACCAATTAGTTCAGTCTGGTTATTACCTTTGACTGTTCGGGTGGAATTCCGGTATGAGGGCACGGGGGTGCCAATATAGGCCCTGCAAGTTAAGCGTAAGCATAGCCAACAGGCTTGCGTACTATTGCTGATATTTTGAATTGACTCGTGTGTTACATTAAAGAGTTGGGTGACCTGATGGATGAGGGCTAGGGTCTGAGTCACTTGTTGGATTCCTGAGGTCAATACTGCAGTAGGTTTATCCCTCAGTCAGTGCCTTAAGGACCTCCTTGACCTTCTTGTCCCTGTTCCTTCGTGCCTGATCTTGGACTCCCCCTCCATCAGACATCCCAGTGTGGGTGAGGTAGGTCCAACAGACAGTGGCCCCCTTTGTTCCCCTAATTATGCAGTCTGAGTCTTGTTTAGTTACCATCCCAGTCCAATACCTTTTCCCATCTTGGAGGCAAAGGGTGGCCTTGTTTTTATCATAACATTTGGCAGGCATGAAGGTGTAGGCACTGAACCCAGTTCCCCACTTGTCTGTCTTTAGGCACTGACACTGAGGTTCCCCAGAAGCAAGGGGGAGAAAGGGGAGGGAAAGAAGACATATAAGCAAGTAAGCACAGCAACGCATCCTACAGTCACCCAATAGGCAGCAGTAATTGCAAGTTTGTGGAGAAAGATACAATCAGAAGGGGTGGCAGGGGAGAGTCCAGTCCCCAGGAGGAGGGATCCTACACCGACGAGGGCCAGGAACCACACGTGCAGATGTCCACTGACAGGTCCTCGTCGGATGTGAAGGTGGAGGGGAGCCTGTGGTTTGGCTGGACTTCCCACTGGCGCAGCCCCTCCTTAGAACAATGGGCCTTCTTCACTCTGGAGTGGTGGACCCACAAGGTGATGCCTGAGACCTTGAGGGCAGTAGAGGTGGTTAGAACAACAATGTGGGGCCCAGTCTACTGAGGTTTGAGGGGGTCTTTTCTCCCATCTTTGACCCAGACTGAGTCCCCTACCTGGAAGGAATGTACTGGGGCCCTTAAGGAGATCAGGGCTCTCTTTATAGTGTATTGTTGTAGCTCATTTAGGGTGGCTCCTAAGGCTTGGAGCTGTTCTCTTATTCCCTCATCCCCTATTTGGTGTAGGTTCCCTGGAAGGCTCCTCAGACATGGGTGGAGGGGGGAAGTCCATATACTAGTTCAAAAGGGGAGAACCCTTGTATTCTGGCTGTGCAATGGGCATGCAGAAGGGCCGGGGGTAGTAGGTCCAGCCACAGGAGGCTGGTTTCCGGACAAAACTTGGCTAGGTTTCCCTTGAGGATATGATTCATTTGCTCCACTTTCCCTGAACTCTGGGGCCTATAGGCAGTGTGGAAATTTCAGGCGACGCTGAGAGATTTGGTTAAAATCTGTACAGCATCTGCTACAAATGCAGGTCCATCATCACTGTGGATTGTGGACAGTAGGTCAAACCGGTGTACGATCTTCCTCAGGAGAACTTTGGCTACTTCTCAGCTCCATTCTGTCCTGGTCAAGAAGTCTTCGACCCACCCAGAGTATGTACACACCATTACTAGGAGGTATCTGAACCTTCTGCTTGGCTGGACATCTGTGAAGTCTATTTCTAGGTCTTCAAAGGGGGCAGCTCCTGCCCTTTGGACACCTAGCGGGGGTTGCAGCACAGATGGAGCATTATTTCTGGCACAAGTCACGCACTTCCTCTGACGTGTTGCCCGACACAATGCTGTCAACTGGCTGATGTAGTATTGCTTTTTGAGGAGGGCTTCCATTGCAGTCTTTCCTAGGTAGGTGAGCTGGTGGTACTCACTAACTAGATGCCCTCGGTTGCAGTTTGGACAAAGATGCGTCTGTTGGGCAGCATCCACCACCCTTTCTTGATTAGGGTGGCTCCTTCAGCCACAGCCCAGTCATTTTCCTTTTCAGTGTATTTGGGTGGAGAGGCCTCCACTGGGGGCGTCAGGGCCATGGTGAGGGAAGGAGCTTCACCTATCTCTTTACTGGCTGCTGCTTTAGCTGCTTCATCTGCCAGGTGATTTCCCTGCACAGTAGGGTTGTTTCCCTTTGCAATGTAGAATTGCCACTTCTTTTGGGAGCCAGATGGCCTCGAGGAGTCTCAGTATCTTTTCCTTGTTTTTGATTGCTTTCAATGCTGCAGTGAGGAGACATCTTTTCTTATAGATTGCCCGATGTATGTAATGTGTACAGTGGCAAAGGCATATCAGGAGTCAGTGTAGATATTGACTTGCTTGCCCTCAGTGATGGTGAGGGCTCAGATTAATGCATGCAATTTGGTCCATTGTGCTGACCATCCGGCCGGTAGGGCTTTAGCTTCTAAGACCTCAGTGGCAGTGGTCACTGCATAAACTGCTCTCTGGATACCTTCCTGTAGGTAACGGCTGCCATCACTGAATAGTGTGAGCGCTGGATTCTATATTGTTTGGTCCCGCAGATCCGGACAGCTCATGCAGACTTCATCAGTTACCTCAGAACAGTCATGATCTGGTTTCCCTTCTTCGGTGGGAAGGAAGGTTGCTGGATTCAGTGTCTGTACTGTTCCAAGACTGACCCGCATGTTTTCACAGAGCAGCCCTTGGTATTACGCTTGCCGAGAGTTGGAGAGGAAGTGGTGTCCCTGTGTGTTCATGAGGGACACAACAGCATGGGGAACCTTGACATTTAGTTCTTGTCCCAGGGTAAGTTTGTCCACCTCCTTAATGAGTAGAACTGTGGCCGCCTGTGCCCCAAGGCATGGTGGCCATCCTGCCGCAACCACTTTCCTCAGTCTCTTTGACAGACATGTGACCAGCCACTGCCAGGGGCCAACAGTCTGTGTGAGAACCCCAGGGGCTACCCTTTCCTTTTCATGTATGAAAAGATTGAAGGGCTTTTCTATATCTGGCAGGCCTAGGGCTGGTGCCTGTCCTAACGCAGCCTTTATTCCTAGGAAGGCAGCTTTTGCCTCTTCTGTCCAGACAGGGAGCTCTCAGTCTGACCTCCCTAAGAGACTGTAGGGGGAATCTCACTATCACTGAGAATCCAGGAATCCAGATTCAGCAGAACCCGCAGCCCCCAGGAAGTCTGGTAGGCCCTTCTTTGCCTGGGGGTGGGGTAAGGAGGTGATGACACTTTTCCTCTCCGGCCCTAGTGCCCTCTTTCCCTGGCTGAGGAGGAAGCCAAGTGCTGGACTTCTTGCTGGCAGATTTGTGCCTTTTTCCATGAGACTTGGTATCCCAAGTCTGACAGGAGTTGCAGGAGGGCCTTTGTGCCCTCTGTACAGTTCTCTTGGGTGTCGCTGGCAAGGAAGAAGTCATCTACGTACTGGAGGAGGGCACAGTGCATGGCTTCCCTCGGAAAGCTGGCAAGGTCTGTGGCCAATGTCTCTCCAAAGAGAGTGGGTGAGTTCTTGAACCCTTGTGGAAGCCACATCCATGTTAGCTGCATTTACTGCCCCATGTCCGGTTCAGTCCCCTAAAAAGCAAACAAGGGCAGGCTCTGGGGGGCAAGCCGGAGGCAGAAAAAAACATCCTTTAGGTCTAGGCAAGTGAAGGATTTGGTGGACCCCAGGATCTGGCTGAGGAGGGTATATGGGTTTGGGACCACCAGGTACAAAAAGAGTCACCCTATTGATGGCCCATAGGTCTTGAACTGGTCAGTACCCTCCTTCTTGAAAGGGGGGTACTGCCGCTGTCTCTGTGGCTGGGCCCGTGGAGATAATTCTACAATGACAGGGGGCAGGTTATGGGCAAGTCCAGGAGGGCTGTCTTCAGCCCATACCAAGGGGAAGGCAGCTCTGAATTCAAGTGGGCTACTTGATGGGGCCTGGACAGAATAGCCTCCACTCCTCTTCCCAGGGTGTGGTTATTGTGGTTATTGCCAGTGTGAGGGACCCTGACTCTTCTTGCCCCGGATTTAGCTTGAGGCTGGTGAGTCCAGTTGGTTCAAAAGTTATTCAGGCTCTGAGTTTTGAGAGCGTATCTTGGCCGAGGAGAATGGGGCACTAGGGTAAGTAAAGAAATTCATGCTGGACCTTGTGGCCCCCAAGTTCACATCGATGGGCCTGGAAAAAGAGTGTTGTATTGCCCATGTCCCTGTGGCCCCAAGGACAGTTGCAGTCCTTTTGCTGAAGGGGGCCACAGGGGAGGTAACCACAGAATGCTCAGCCCCAGTGTTGACTATAAAGGTCAGTTTGGTTCCCTACTTTTACTATGACTGTGGGCTTGTGGGGGACGAGAGTGAGAGGGCCCAGTCCTTGTCAATCTGACTCTGCCCCTCCCAGGCCAATGAGTCCCCTTTCATGAGGTTCTTTTAGGTACCGGCTGGGCCTCGGGACTTTTCCTCAGTTGGTACATTCATTTTTCCAGTGCCCCTTTTCTTTGCAGTAGGTGTACTGATCCTGTGCTAGAGGGATTTGAGGCTTCCCCCTCTCTTGGCTGCCGGTTTCTCTCTACCTTTTGATCATCCTTTAGGGCTACTGCAAGGAGACTCACTTTTCTTTTCATCCGTTTCTCAGCCTCCCTCTCAGTCTGGACTTCTCTTTTCATGTACACTTTGTTAACAATTTCTATCAACTGGGTGATGTTCATTACAGCAAAGCCTTCAAGTTTCTGGAGCTTTCATCTGATGTCCAGAGCAGCTTGGGCCACAAACGAGGTATTGACCATTTGTTGGCTCTCTTGTGACTCAGGGTCAAAGGGAGTATAGATACAGTAAGTTTCACACAGCCTTTCATAGTAGTTCCCAGGGGAATCTTCCGATTGTTGGGTGACTGAAGATATCTTGGTCATGTTCATGGGCTTTTTGACCCAGCCTTGATTCCCGGGAGGAGGGCTTCCTGATACCGACAGATCTGGGTTGTCCTTCAGTTGTGGTGAAGTCCCATACAGGACGTTCCTGCAACCTCATATCCTCCCGTGATCCAGAGGAAGAGCCCATCTTACCTCTGTCCTATGCACCACCAAGGCCATCAGCACCTGACCCCACCGACCCTGAACACGCTGCCCCCATCGGACATGACAATTTTGGCCCATGCACCTCAGTCAAGGACCCTCACTGGTGCGTGCTCTTTGAGGTATTGGCGGGCTCCTTTAATAATTCGCCTTCTCTCTTCTGTGTTGAACAAGGTGCGGAGAAGCTGTTGGCAGTCTTCCCAGGTTGGCTGATGGGTTTGGAAGAGGGACTCCATGAGATCAACTAGGGCTTGTGGCTTTTCTGAGTATGATGGGGTGTTGTGTTTCCAATTGAGGTCAGTCGTGGAGAAGGGTTGGTAGTAGAGCATGGACTGACCAGGCTGGGTGGTCCCATCTTCATCACGCCTCTTGGGCTCTCATGTCTCTCAGACCAGCATCTGGAGGGCACTTGAATTCTGATGTGAGCATAAATGGGCTGCCAGACCTGGGGCAGGTGGGCTTGGCAGAGGCAGGGAGGCTGATGGAGGCAGCGTGTCCAGGGTCGGTGGGGTCAGGTGCTGATGGCCTTGGTGGTGCATAGGACAGAGGAAGATGGGCTCTTCCTCTGGATCACTGGGGAGGATGTGAGGTTGCACGATCTTCTGGAAGTGTCCTGTTGACTGCTTGGCTGAAGTGACTAGAACCTTAGCCTATCCCTGCCTATTACAGGAGAATCGTACCCAAGGGGGAAGGGTTTGGGCTATTTCAAGCCAGGGGTCTATATAGGGAAACTGGTCTGGGTGCCCTGGCTTTCCAGTGACTACCTGCCAAACACAGCAGACCACCTGGACGTCTAGGGTCCCTTCAGGTGGCCACCCCACTTCAAAGCAGGGCCACTCTAACTCACATAGGGTCCTGAGCCTTCCGGGAGTCATTTTGAATCCGTAATCCCTGGAAAAGCCCTTTTTGAAATTCTTGACCCCAGTTTCAAGGACTGTCATATTACTGTATTACTGTGGCCCATCCCCATTTTTGTATAGCGGTGTTGCAAGGACAAACAAAGGGGGAATGTCTCCCTCAGAGAGGATACCAGTCAGATGTGCCCATCTGGCCGTGTCCCCAAGGAACTTAGATGACGCTTAGCCGTAGCAGTCTCAGCAGTGTGATTTATGATCGAAAGCTATTCCGCTACCACCACAGACTTTATGCCGTTCACCACGGAGTTGCAGACGGGCCCACTAAGGCTCTGTAGGCTTCGGGGAACCTTAAAGGCGCCCCCCTGTGGAGCCACAGAATCAGTCCTGACTGGACAAGTCAAGTCGGTCTGCATACTCACTCACACAGTCAGACCAGATTTTAAACATTCCCTCCCTGGGAATCCCTACCTGTGACACCTCTAAAAGGTCTCTGGGAGGTTATCAGGCTCTCCCTGCACCCTGTCAACGGCCCCAGGCCTTACCGTGTAATCCGACGTCAGGACCAGGTCCTCACCTTCCAAGCCTCGAGTCTGGCGGTGACAGCGGAACGGGACTGGTCCAAGGCAACCGGGTGGGAGACTGATGAAAGATCAGGCGCGGCGCGCCTTCTCCGTTACGACGGTCCCTTCCGTCACCGCCCCACGGTTGCCCCAAACAGGTGGCAACAACGGGCCAGCGCGGTTGGGTTTCCCGGTCAGGGGACCAAATGTCACGGAACCTGGACTGGATCGCCCGACGGAAGAACCAAGCGGCACTCGGAGGTCTAGGAAGATAGGTTTATTTCACACTGGCGGGCTCAGAGGAAAGCGACCTCTAAAATTCTGAGCCCAGAGCACAAGCAAGGGGAGCAATTCATACTTTTCTACTTCTTTCTATGTGGCAGTTTGGCGCGCCTGCGGCAAGCAGGGCAGGAAGAAGAACCCGGAAGGGCCTCCGGGGGAGAAGGGGGGCACTGGAATTCCCTGTTGGCTCTACCAGCCATTTTGAAGCGATATCCTTCTCACCATTCCATGTTTTCCTCATCAAAAGCAGTGCTGAGTGTACATGCCAGCCTGGGGTGGCTGCAGATACTCCAACTACTATTTACACTCATTCTCTACCTGAAATCACAACCTAGTTTCAGGTAGTGCTAACGCTACTCGGTCAGTCACGGAAGGAAATGCTCGGTTTCGCACAGCGACAATAAAGGTGTAATTTTCTTCCTACCTGAGCCCATGAAACCGTCCAGGCTAATAACCCCTGAATTAGAGCCACGCTGCCGCCGCCCTCTCTAGAGCAGACCCGCTGGTCTCCAGATCCTCCCCGGGACCGACTGGCCAACCCGACCCCGCCACTTGGGCTTAAAGCCTCGGTTTTCTCACCGGACACCCCTGACCCTGAGCATGGCTAAGACATTCGCTGCCCCTCTGGCCTGTCTCCGCCTGGGACCCGGGCTCCTGAGGGTCAAATAGGAACTTTCTGGAAAAAAAGACTTCCCCTCACCGGGCCCCGCGTCCTTCCGGCCGGGTCTCCGCCTCACCGCGCCGCGCACCCACCTGCACTCCGCAGCTTCCTTCTCAGCGCGCACCCGAGACGGCCTTGCGCACGCGCAGTTCGCGAAGCCAGCTACTCGCGCGCGTGGGCTCACGTTACCCGCGACAGCGAGGCGTTCGGCTGGCGGCTAGCCGGGCCTGCCAGAGCGGCCCATTCTCCGCGCTCTATTGGTCCAGTCTGGAAGGAGAAGGGCCTCACAGGCTCCGGGCGCTCCCGGCAACCCTCGCGCGGCGGCGGGGGCGGCAGCGACCGCAGCAAGACAAGGCGAATCGAGGCGAGGCGGACAAGGACCTTGTGCGGTGGGGCCGGCGGCGGGGAGAGGTGTGAGGGCGGCGAGGGACCTAAGGGGGAGTCGGGCCGGTGGGCCGCCGCCGCCGCCATGCAGGAAATCATCGCCAGCGTGGACCACATCAAGTTTGACTTGGAGATCGCGGTGGAGCAGCAGCTCGGGGCGCAGCCGCTGCCCTTCCCCGGCATGGACAGTGAGCGCGGGTCTGGGGCCGGGGACGAGGGGTGCGACCGACTCAGCCCGGGACTCCTGCCCCTCGGCGCGGGACACCCTCCCTCTCGGTGCCGGGGCTCCTTTCTCCCCGATCCTGGAACTCCACTCACTCGGACTCGGGAGCCCCGCTTCCTCGGATTTTTTATCCCTTGCGGCCGTTCTGAGACAGTCTGCAGAAGGGCAGGACCATGTCCGGTAGTTCAAATAATTCTTTAACGAAGGCGGGTATCCTGGATTAGGAATTAGTCTCCTCCGCCAACTACAGGAAATACTGATGGCCCCTTCCCTACCTTCAGCCCCCAAACTTTGAGCGCCCTCTCTTTGCTTTCATCAGCACTGGGCCGTTGGAGGGGTCCTGCTGAGGGAACGACCATCATTCTCTCCTGTAGGAGACCCCAAGTTAGACTCTCAAGCTCCATTCTTCAACTGGGACTCACACCGCCGGGGAGAGACTATCCCTCACGTTTTCTCTGGACCCCCATCTCTGGGTCACTCATCACACTCAGGCAGCTGCTGAGCTCCTTTCATTCTCCCCTTTTGCACCCCACAACTTAGTTGGATGTCTAGCACTTTGAAAGAAACCAGCAGTTTTCTCCTCTCCTTTCTGGACACACTTGAAATCTAATGCTGTCACATCAAAGCTTAGGGGTCACTGAGTTCAATTCACAGATGGGGCAGCTCAGTCCTGGATCAGGGAAGGGACTTGCTGAAGACCCCTCAGTGCATGGCCGAGAGCCTGGTGAACTCTCCAGCGCTCTTGACCCATTCTGTCTGACCTTCCTGTGCTGTCTCCCAGAACCACCAGAGGACTGCAGCCTGAGTTCTCCCACTGACCACTGGGCTAGAAGAGCCTCCCTGCAGCCTCCTCCCCCTCGAGCGGCCACACTTCTCTTGCACACATGATCTCTGAGTTATCCCACTCATGCTGACACTTCTGTACAAGATATTATACCCAAGAGACACATCTCAGGCAACCCTATTTTTTTTATATCATTAATCTACAATTACATGAGCGACATTGTGGTTACTAGACTCGCCCAACCACATACCCCATTACAGTCACTGTCCATCAGTGTAGTTAAGATGCTGTAGAATCACTACTTGTCTTCTCTGTGTTGTACAGATCTCCCTGTGCCCCCCACCCTCTATATTATGTCTACTAATCATAATACCCCTTTTTCTCCCCTTGTCCCTCCCTTCACACCCATCCTCCCCAGTCCCTTTCCCTTTGGTAACTGTTAGTCCATTTCAAGCAATCCTATTTTATACACACACAAGCGCCATCTCTAGGGTACACATCCAAAAGCAGCTGCCTAATGTCAGATATACATACTCTATTACCTATCCCTCAACATATGGTCATTTCATGCTAGTGCACAGACATCCACCTTTGCACACATGGCCTTGTCCTGTATTGATGGCACTGACTTGAGGCCATGGAACGATCCTCCTGGGCAGCTCTTTCCCTCCCGACTCTTCTCCAGCCTGGAACCAGAGATACTTGAGTCTGTGAAAGCAGGCACAGTGATGAGGGCCCACATACCTGTTTTTAGTGATGGTCAATGACATGTCTAGCCATGGTGCTGCCCTGGTGCAGGTAGGTGCCCTCAGTACTCACTGCTTCCCGTGATCAAGTTCAGTGTGTTAATGTCCAGGGAATCCACACACCTTTCTTCCTTGTCCCCACACTTCATTCCCATCTTAGTTCTGCCCTGAAGGCATACTCTTTTATTCTGTCTGCCTGAGACCCAGTCCTTAGGACTATGGACTGGCTTTAAGGAATGAAGCAGACTTAACCTCTGAAAAGAGTGAAGGTCCAGACATACTCTTCAGTGATACTTTTTTTTTAAGGCTTTTTGAAAGGCAAAACTCCCATGACTCCCAGTTCTACAACCTGCTACCAAGAAGCCAAGGAATCTTGCAAGTTAGGAAGGAGAAACACAAAAGTGGCCTTCAGAGATGCTGTCAGTGGATTTTCAGCAGTTCTAAGATGCCTGATGATAGAGAAAACAGTTGATGAAACCCTGAATGATTTATTCTGGTAACCATGCCTGTGCATTCCTGGCTCATTGGGCCAGCTTGCCTGGGGAGCCCACGGACTCCCATTGTACTCTCCCTTTATTCTCTTGCTCCCCTCAACTGGACTCGTTGCCTCTGTGAGAGCCAAAGACTGTGTTCCTTTAATTGTGTATCCATATTGAATTTTAAGAGTAGTCCTCCTCCTGTCATCTCCAGAAGAGCATCTCCAGTACACCCAACCTCTTCTCTGGAGCCGCCTCCCCACAGTTCCCTTCACTTATTTGTGCTTCCTGTGAGATCCCTCTGCTTCATGTTAAAGTGCCGCTGAATTGGCCCTCTGGAACTTCCGAGCTGGGGTACTAATTTCTGTGATCCTGTGCTCCATCCTCCCTTCTCCCACCCACTCCTAACTCCTTGAAAGCAACCTGCTTATGGGAGGCTCTCAGCACTGAGTAATGTCTGGTCTTAACATAAGCATCTCATTCTGCAGAGTGACTAAAATCCACAGTTCTTTCCTCTCTTAGTCAGGCTTTGCATTTTTTTGCCACCTGTTTTCTGGGTTTGCCCCAAATCCTTTGTGGGTTAAAGGCCAGAAGGGCCCCTCCCATATCTTCAGACATCCCCAGTAGCTCTTGTACCTCACTGTGATGCCTTTTCTCTCTTTTCTGCAGAGTCGGGGGCTGCTGTCTGTGAATTCTTTTTGAAAGCTGCCTGTGGCAAAGGTAAGAGAGCCCCAACTTTCCTCCTAAGATGCCTTCACTGCCACCCTGCCCCCTAGCAGACGCGTGGACCTTCAGGTCTCTGGCTTACGTTTCTCTCTGCAGACTAACAGTGTTCCTAGATGATGTGGTGCTTTCATAGGTGAGGAACATGATGGGTGTTTTACCTGAAATCTAAAACACAGGACTGAACCTGGCTCTGAGTCTGCCTTCTCAACTCACTTTGCCTGTGACCACAAGCCGACCTGTGACATGGACAGAGGCCCCTAGCACTGAGGTGTTCAGGAACTTTCTCAAGGTCACAGAGTTAGTGAGTAGCAGGGCCCAGTGTCTGAACCCAGGCCTTTCTGATTCTACAGACCACACAAACTCAGTGTCCTCTGTGAGCTTCAAATAAACCTCCCAACAGTCTGTCTCATGTTGTCTTGTTCCTGCTAATCAGACCCCAACAGAGGCTGCATGAGCCAGACTATCCTCTAATTCATAAGAAATTATCACTGGAAAGAACCTTTCATGCCATCTATAGGCCTGGGCATTTTTCTTGCTATAGACAAATTTGGAAACTAAATTTTATTGGAAGCTTGAGTAGGGAGCGCAGAATTAGAGCAAGGGAATGGTTTTAATGGATGATTTTGGCAAGTTCTGGTTCTATAACTCAGTCATTTACCTCTGAAGCAGTAGACCTGTCAGGTAGGGTCAACCGTGTTGACCTCAGGCTGTCTGGTCAGAACACTTTACCCTGTGGGCTTCATGGCTCATTCCCACATTTGATCGGTAATGACTGTGTCTGTTAACTAATAGAGTAGCCACCAGCCTCATGTGGCTATTCAAATTTAAATCAATTAAAATCAAATAAAGTTTTAAATGCAAGTCATATTTCAGGTGCTTTGTAGCCACAGGAGGCTAGTAGCTGCCATGTTGGACAGCACAGATATAGAACATTGTTGTTGCAGAAAGTTCTATTGAGCAGGGATGTTCTGGATCTTCCCCAGGCCCATTTTTATTCTGGTTGGGTCTTCCCAGTAGTCCGTCAGGTCACTAGATGGAAACATGACTTTCCCAGGGTGTGGCTTTGTCCCTTGTGGGAAGATAATCTCTCAGGTATTGCTATCGAAGGCAGACCTCCCCCAATTTGTGTACAGTACATTTCTTCGATTCTGAAGTTAATTTTCTTTCCTTATTTTTGGAGGTTGAGTGGACACTTATAACTAGAGATAGAGCCACCTGGAGTCCAGGCTGCTAGTGGTCCTCTATACCTTGTCTTTTGGGGCTGTGTTTCCCAAATCTAGTCTTTTACTACCCCTATAATTTTTGCCATATCTGTGTATCACTGGAACTCTTTAATTAATGAAAAAATAAACTCCCCCCACCCACATACAGTCCTATGTATGTTAAGTTTCCATCTTACAGTGATTATCTGTGAAGTCATGACTTGATGTTTTTAGTTAGATTTTTTCCAAAATATGTTAAAATAAAATATATTGCAATTAAAACTTAAAGTGTGCACCTGTGTACTGACTAAAATCACTGCTTTCTGCTGGGGCAACCACCTTGCAGGCCACTCTGGCTTCAGGAAAGTGTGAGGTGAAGGCACCTTGGCCCCCAGGCCCAGGGCCACCTCTGTGTTCACACCCCTGTCTCCCTGGCAGGGGGCATGTGTCCTTTCCGCCACATCAGCGGCGAGAAGACAGTTGTGTGCAAACACTGGCTGCGGGGGCTGTGCAAGAAGGGGGACCAGTGCGAGTTCCTGCATGAGTACGACATGACCAAGATGCCTGAGTGCTACTTCTACTCCAAGTTCGGTGAGCCTGTGGCCAGGCCCCTCCCTCTGCCCAGACCCCCGGCCTCAGGAGCCTGGGAGGCTCCACCCAGAGCCCAGCCCAGAGGGTGCCTGTGGCATCTGCCGCCTCCCATCTTTCTGGCATCAGAGGGGACCCCTGGGCAGTGCCTGGCCACTTCCTCTGGTTCCCTTCTTTGCGGGGGGGTTGCGGTTACTCACTGATAATTCCGTCTTTGTAGTGCTTCTGTTTTTTGAGCACTTTCAGGTACTTTGGGTAGTTGACAGTAATGGGGGTCTCACGGTGGGTGAGTAAGCAGTGCAGCTGGCTGGAAGTCTTGTTGCTGCTCCAGTCGGCCTTCTACTCTAAATCAGCTTCTTCAGGCCTGGTGACTTATTGCCCTCAGGCTTGAGTGGGTTCTTCTCTTTGGGAACATGATCCCAGGTAATACCTTGTCTGTCCTAAATACCCCTTAAGAAGAGCAGGTCTTGGGGACTGTTTTCTGCTGGCAAAGAACCCAGAGCACTTACTGCAAACAGTTAATCCTCTCCTTTGTTTCCCTGCTGTATTGGGCCTCTAGAGCAGAGCACCAGAGAGCAGGACCAGATCGGTCCTCTTTACAAGTAGCACCCTCACCCGTGTCACCTGTGGTACAGGGGAAGGGCAGCAAGGGAAATGTCATGGAGGCCTGGGGGCTGCCGGGACCAAGGCCTTCACCTTGCAACAGATTGCCTTGATCCCTGCTTAGAGACCATGCAGCTTCCACTGTCCAGAGTGGACCCATTGGAGAGGCAGAGTGGGCTGGGGGGCTGGGGCTGGCACAGGGCTCACTAAACTGTTGTGCTTCCTGATGGAAGTAGGATCCCCCACTCTCTGTCGCCCAGGAAGAAGCCCTGCTGATTGTGACGAGGGCTGGTGCTAGCCCCAGGCCCTCTCTGGGGCCTGGCGGGAGGCAGGAACCCTGCTGTACGATTGGGCCGAAGGGTGCTTGGCATGCTGCAGACTTTCAAAGCACTTTTAGAGGAGACATTTACTATTTCAGCAGGCCGACCGGCTTGGATTGCTGGCTTATTAATAACAGTGTGGCTTTTGTTGTACAGGCAGCATACACTGAGATGTCAAAGCACAAACAGAAACAGGGTCCAAGCTTCCTGAGTCCCCTGTCCGTGCCCCATCCCTCCTTATAGCAGCACTAGAACCAGCACTGGAAGCGGGGCAGCACTGCTCCGTGGGAGCACCTCCCATCTGGCCCAAAACGCAGCAGGCCAGCCCTCCTGGGCAGACTTCCGAGGGCGCCTCTACAGGCTGGCATGGGTTCCCTCCTTCCCACTGATGGCCTTGGTCCCGGCAGCCCCCAGGCCTCCATGACATTTCCCTTGCTGCCCTTCCCCTGTACCACAGGTGACACGGGTGAGGGTGCTACTTGTAAAGAGGACCGATCTGGTCCTGCTCTCTGGTGCTCTGCTCTAGAGGCCCAATACAGCAGGGAAACAAAGGAGAGGATTAACTGTTTGCAGTAAGTGCTCTGAAGGAAAACATCCATGGGGTCAGGATGGTAAGGGGAGGCCTCTCTGAGCACATGAGACTTGAGCTGGGACCTGAAGCTAAGACAGTGCAGGTCCTGGTAGAGGACTGGCCTTAGTACAACAGCTTGTGGGGGCCAGTGTGGCTGAAGGGCAGAGATGGGCTTGACCACCTCAGGGCTTATGGGTCTGGAAGGAGTTTGCACTTCCTCTGGCCAGCAGAGATCAGACTGGCCTTTCGCGTGGACCATGGACAGGAGAGGGCAAGTGTGGCTGTGGCATGGCCACACAGCCAGGTGCTTCCTAAAGTTGGATGACAGATGCCCGTGGCCAGCAGGGCTGATCACTTCTGAGAAGACCTCTCATCCCAAGGCTTTCTGGCATCTGCCACAGGGACCCAGCCTTGAGTTTGCAAATCTTCCCTACTTCTGTTCTCAAAGGTAGAATCCTCAGGCTCTGCCCCTGAGCCAGCTAGTAGATGTGAAGGACTGATCAGAGTAGAACAATGATTTCTCAGTCTCAACTGGTGCATTTGCCTGTCTAGACCTCCCAAAGCCTAGGAGACCCCCTTTGGGTCAGGGATGGGGCCATGAGTTATTTGATGAGTGTCCCTGTGCCCAGCTTTGTCTGTGTCCTTGACCCTCACAGCAACACGGATGTGTGAGGGAAGGACTCACAGCCCATGTACAGGTCAGGAAACAGGCTCTGAGATACTGTGCCCTGGGTCTCAGGGCTCCCAGGCCAGGACTGTTCATGAGAACCGCCTGACCATCCTTGTCACACAGCAGGCCTGGCCTGGGGGGTAGCTGGGGGGCGTCTGGTGCAGCGCGCCTTGGCTTCCCAGGTGACACCTGTGGGTTTCCCCACAGGGGAGTGCAGCAACAAGGAGTGCCCCTTTCTACACATTGACCCTGAGTCCAAGATCAAGGACTGCCCCTGGTATGACCGAGGCTTCTGCAAGCATGGTAGGTGTCGGGGTGGCTGGGCTCCCTGGTATGAGGCCAGTCCACCCTCCCCGGGCTCACGTGACCCTCAGCAACCTCGAGCCTTCTAGAGCTGTTGTGGGGGCCGTGTTCTCAGCTGCACTTGATGAGGAAATGAATGCTTGAGAGGCCACATGCCCTGCCCACTGTCCTGACGAATAAGAGGCAAAGCAAGCATGTGAAGCCCTGCCCTTGCTCTCTGCACCCCAGGGCGTGGTGTGGGCAGAGGAGCTGAGAGCAGCCCCCCTGAAGAGGGGATGGTCTGAGTGACAAGAGGCTTGGCCCCATAGGTCCCCTCTGCCGGCACCGGCACACACGGAGAGTCATCTGTGTAAATTACCTCGTGGGATTCTGCCCGGAGGGGCCCTCGTGTAAATTCATGCAGTGAGTAGCCAGCCCCCGTTCCCCAGCCCTGCTCCCGCCTGGGGCCTGCTGCCATCTGTGTCCTTCCTGGGTCCAGCTGGGCTTTTTTCGCTGGGTGGTATCAGAACAGGGCCTGGGGCCAGGGTGGGAGTTCAGGGAGGGACCACAGCTTCCTGAGCTCAGAGGTGGCTCTGCCTAGACTAGCACTTGACCTTTATTGGGTCATAGGCCATTTGGGAACGTGATGAAAGCCACAGGCCCTGTGCTGCAGAAAAACTCTTGCCGTAGAGCCTTGCACATCGAGGGGCCTCAGGTAAACAATCTGTGCCCTAGAGTAAGAGAACTACAGTTTCAGGCCCATTGTACAGAGGCCCTGAGCTTGGGGTTCCGCAGACTCCTAACTCATGTAACTACAAGTGTGAGAGAGAACATTCCTGTTCCACACACATCATCCCTGAGGCTCAGAGCACAACCACTGGCTGGGGTCACATGGAGGTGGGTGGCAGCGCCTGATCAAAGGCAGGTCTGTGGGCCTCTGGAGCCGGGGTCTCCTTGTCCAGTAGGGCTCATTGCACCTCTCCTGGACCTCGGTTCGTGTCGGTCACTTTGGGTGGTTGGGGGGCCAGACTTCTGCCTGGGGCAGCACTGGAACCAGAGTACAATCTGCCCCCTTCCCACACACCCCCATGCTGCCTGCATCTGCACCCTGACACCTGCTCAGGTGTCCTGGTCACCGCCCCACGGCGGGCAGGTGGCTGATGCTGATCCCACTCCCTAGATGTGAGCCCCGGAGGCTGCGGACAGCCCCACTCATGGGGCGGGCAGGTATGTCCCCCAGGGACTGTGTTGTCAGAGGAGGTCTACACTGCAGTTGGGGAAGAGTGTGTGCCAGGAGGGGCTTCTGTGTACAGGGCCCCTTGTGCCTTCTGACGGCGCAGACTGCCACCAACATCATTTCTCTGGGCAGCACTTGCCTGGGTCTCATTGACATCTGGGCAGAGCTGGGTCTGAGCTCAGGCGTTTCAGTTCTGTTCTCCCCGCTGTCCCTCAGCCTCAGGGCAGGGCAGAGAGCCAGCACCCATCTCGTCCAGGTGGTTCCTGTTGCTCTGTGCTTGTGTAGAGGCTGGCTGGGACATTCCAGAGGCCAGAATTTGAGACCAATGCCTGGCCTGGCCATCTCATCCCTGCCTCTCCTTCTCTTGTTCTGACCTTCTCTGGCTGCGGGGTGACCAGCCCTCGATTTGAACTGCCGATGGGAACCACCGAGCAGCCCCCACTACCACAGCAGACACAGCCTCCAGCAAAGGTACCGTGCTCTGGCCCCTCCCGGGTGCCGTGGTGCTGGCCGCACCCCTCAGCAGAGACCTTGGTGCCCACCCCGGGGCGAGGTCTGCGGGAGACCTCGTGATGGCAGGGGAGGACTTGCGGAGTCACCCAAGTTCCAATGGGGAATTCTGGGAACAAAGCAGCATGAGGGCTGCCAGAGCCAGAGCTCACCTGGCTTTTCCCTTCATCCTGGCCAGTGTTGTGGCAGCTCCAAGGCTGCACTCAAGGTGCCAGGGTGGGGGGCAGCATAAGTGCCACATGTCTGCTGCTCTTGCCCCTGGTTCAGACCCTTCCCTGTACCAATGGTAAGATAGGTTCCTGGAGGGAGGGACCAGCTGGCAGGAGCAGACCTGGGAGCAGAACCAAGGCAGACCGGTCCTCTGGCCTGTGTGTGAACCGCAGTGCCTGGAGGCTCCTGACCGTGGGAGGGAGAGCTGGGGGCAGAGTGCTGGAGGACCAGTTGACTCGCTTTTAGACAAGTGGGTCCCACCACCCAGCAGTGGGCTGTTCCCTCAGGCATGAGGAGTGCAGGCAGTGCGCTGCCCAGTTAGAACTAAACAAATGGGAATCTGCAGCAGCCCCCCCAAAACCAAGGTCACTCTGATTTGATTACAGGAGTTGGGGGTTGGGGGCCAAGAGGAAGGGCTAGCCAGGTGAGTGAGACAGGGTCTCAACAGGCTGAACAAACCTGCCCACCAATCTTGAAGCCTTACCTCTTAGCTGGTGGGACTCTGAGCCCACTGCCAAAGCCCTGCCCAGCCCTCCTCAGTGCCTGGGGCTGAGCAGCCAGGAGGACATGTGCCGCGCTTGCTGTAGTGACTCCCACCCTCAGGACGTTGTGGGATAAGTCAATAGAACTCCTTGTCGGCAAAGCCAGGAATTCCTGAATGTGGGTGCAGCCATGACACCCTTGGGATTTCTAGCTCAGGGTTCCTGCATTTATGGGGGCCAGAGCCAGGAACCCACTTGGTTGGGAGCCAACCTAGCTGTCCAGTCCCACCCCAGGAGCCCATCTTCCTTGCTCACATGACTCCCTAGCGGAGGGCCCTCTCAGCCCCTAGACAGCAGGTCAGCACGTCAGCCTCCAACTGTTTTTCTGTGACTGTTGCTCGCCGTGTAGGCTGCTAAACATCTGGCTGAACCAAGCGTTCATCCTGACCTGAAGCTAGAACCTCAGAAACAAAAGTAAGGCCTGCTCATGCCCTCACCCTGCTGCCCCAGAGACCTCCTTGTCTCTTTGGTGTTTTGTTTTCTACTTTTATTTTTCGTTTTTGTGTGTCTGCATGGTGTTTTTCGGGCAGCGGCTCCTGCCATCACCACCAGATGTTTCTTTTCCACCTGCTCTCCTGAGCGGGGCCACTGCGGAAGCCCTTCCTGCTGGTCACGCGGGAGCAGTCCCGCTCTCTTTTTTTCCTATCCCTGTTGGTAGTCTGCGTGCACGTGTTTTCCGCAGTAAAACCGTGTTGTGTAACTCTTTCCAGCAAAGTAACAATCCGCCATTACAAAGGTCGTCCTCCTTGATCCAGTTAACGAGTCAGAACTCTTCTCCCAATCAGCAGAGAGCCCCACAGGTCATCGGGGTCATGCAGAGTCAAAACAGCAGTGCAGGCAACCGGGGACCTCGGCCGCTGGAGCAGGTTACCTGCTACAAGGTGATTTCCGGGACTGGGGGGGGTAAGGGGGGTGGTCTTCACAGCCAGTGGCTAGTCCCTCATTCCCCAGATAATTTTGAAAGACTAAAATAGTTTTGTTTTTTCTGATTGTAAGAGTAAAAATGAGCCACTCTGGTGGACTAGAGACCATCCTGCTCCCTTCTATGACACACCGAGGTCAGGTGAACAATTAAACACACACTGTTGGATCAAAGGATTGAGCTTGTATAAAGGGAGGGAAATCTTCCAGAGGCTAGGAACAAAGTGGAAGCACAGTCCAGGGAGGAGGGTGGGCCCGGAAGCTTCTGCATGTTCTCACATCTTCCTGGGCACGCCCAGGGGAGAACAAAGCTTTAGAGAGCAGTCAGATCAGAACCGACCCCCGACCCATACACACGTACACACACAGATAAAATGGGACCCTCAGGGAAAGGATAAACTTTTAAACAACCTGCTCGAAAATTTATCTGCCTCATTCTTGGCTCTAGATGGAAAGGGGAAAGAGTTTGAAGTCCCTGGTGAGCCCTTTCATGACCTTGGGCCTGTGTTCCTGCCTGTGATGAGGGCTAAAAAGCTACAGACTAAGTTTTCTAATCTAAAACCACATGGGTGGGCACCTGGCACCTGACTCTTTGAGGAATTTATTCTCAACCCAGGCTGCACAGAATTTCCACAGCTAGAGTTCTGAAGAATGAGTTCATAAATAAAAGTGACAAAATGAGCAACAAGTGAGTCAGCAGAAACAACTGATAATAGAACTAGATGCATAAAGACTTCATATTTGGGAATTACTAACAAAATATAAATTACTTCATGTTTTTTATTAAAAACTTTTAGATACAGAAGTGTTAGGGTACAAAGTGTTTTCCTTATTACCACCTTTCCTAAAACAGCTACTTTATTCAGTATGTTCTTTTCTTATACTTTTTGATTTTGGTACACGTTTACACTACAAAACTCCTAAAGGGGGCCCCCACCAGGAGAACTGTTCTAAACTTTTATTCCCACAAACACAAGGGTAGTATATACTTTAGCATAAACAGGGCTATAGTGTAACTTTCCATAATCTGTGTTCTTTATAACGTGTGGATCATGCTGTGTCAGCATATATAAATCCAGTCTGTTTTAGTGGCTGCATAACATGACTGCAATTAATTTTACCAGTTCTCTATTGGTAGACAGTTATTTGTAGTTTTTGCTGCTAAAAGCAGGGCTGAACCTGATACTTTGGCATTTGTGAGTTTTTTTCTAATGTCAGTATCATCCATGCCTACAAGTAGAAGGTCCCAGTTGCTCATAGAACTTGCCCTCAGGCAAGGCTGAGTCGCCAGTCACTTTCCACAGCCATCATATGTGATCACTGAGCACCTGCTGGGTCCAGCCCAGCTGAGGACGCAGAGTGCTGTTGCTCTTTCCTGAGAGGCGTTTGTGTACTGGGGGAAAGGGAAGGCACGTGCCCTGAAACACTAACATTGTAAGTGTGGGCAGTTTCAGGGGGCGCCTCAGATTATGAGCCTGAGCCCTAACAGGTGAGGGAAGTACAGAAAGGGGGGTGTGGTGATGAGGCAGGTGGGGGACCTGCCCCATGGAGGGTAGCTAGCTCCTCAAGGGCGATAAGGAAGCTTAGCTTCATCCTGATGCACTCCAGGACTCCTTAGCAGCGCCTCTGTGAAGTGAGCTCTCCTCTGTCCTAGAACCCTGAAAGTAGGGGGGTGGGAGACAGGACCTAACCACCTCTCACTAAGCCAGTGCTTCACAGTTAACATCAGAGATGCCGCAGAGGCCCATGGACATGCCTGCTTAGTCCCTCCCTCTGGTTATCTTATCAGCTCAAGGGCCAACTGGCCGATCCTCCGGCTGCAGGTCACACCTACAGATGAGACAGTCTTGAACACATGGGTCAGTGGGGCTGGGAACTGAGCAGGCAAACATTCTGCCCTGACCGAGTAGAGCCCTGCCTTCCAGGCCAAGGAAGCAGGGGCTGGGAGGCACCAGGTGGTCAGCACAGAGTAGGTGCCCACCTGACTCCTGACCCCTTGTTAATGCTCCAGGCTGTGGTTCCCTTGTAATTCCCCCTCAGCTTTTTAAGGAGTAACAGGAATGAAGGAAGGGAAGGGAAGGGAAGGAAGGGCCTAGATAATCAGAACAGAGACAAGTTAGGGTCAGTGATAAGATTTCATGAGGTGATTCTCTGGGGTCTTTTCACCCACATGCAACCACTGTCCCATCTCTCTGATCCTATGACCAAAACCTGTCCTCGGGTAGCTTAGGCAAGTACGCAGGAGCAGGAGGGAGAACCCTTTAGGTGCAGCCCACCCCCAGGGTCCACAGCCATGAATCCCCAAGTGGGGGGAGAGCCCGGTGGCTTCTCTCACGCTCCGCCTCCTGCCGCCAGGGAATCCCAGAGCGGTGCCTCGAGGTAAGTGACTGGCCAGCAGTGCAGAGGGGCTTGGCCCCCAGACAGGCGGGGAACTCTGCTGTCATGGGCTTCTCTTCATCCTGCCACCCAACGCAAGCCCTTCCGTGTCCTCTACTTGACACGGCCGGCGGGAAGGAGCTCCTTGCTGTGCTCTCAGCTCATCCTCGGGTGCCGCCTGCTGAGTTGCTAGCTGCAGTTTCTGTGCTGCTGTGCCCTTGGAGCTCTTGTTCCCTTGTGTTTGAGAAGTTTCCCTGAGAATTGAGATTCCCCCTTCCCCAATCTGGTGTTTGGTGGGTGCTGTTGTCGTTGAAAATAGCATTTGAAAACTTTTTCTCTCCCCTTCCCGTTCCCAGTGTGGTGAAAAAGGACACTATGCCAACAGATGCACCAAAGGGCACTTGGCCTTCCTCAGTGGACAGTGACAGCGACTGGACCAAGCTCAGAGCAGCCCGAGGGGCCCGGTGGTTGGGGACAACTCTGAGCCATCCTTGGGAGTGTGCACTTTCTAACCCCAGCGTGGTGCAGCTCTGGTTGGAGCTGGCCAGCAGGCACACACTGTGGTTTAATATCTGTGGGGATGTGTCTCCGTTTCCCTGTCATTTTGCTGTAACCTTTTCTTTTTTTAAAGGGGACATGTGCTCCAGTTTGGTTCCTCAAGTAGGCATCAGCACCTGTCTGGGACTCTTTACACTCCACCCCCTGGGGAGGGGAGGACACCAGGGAAGGGCTTATGCTCAGCAGTTCTGTATGGAAAATGGCCCTTCCCCTCAGGGCCTCGTTAAACACCAGCTCTTGGTGACCCCAGGGGCTGGTGGCTCATGTAAAGCTGAGGCCAGGTCATACCTACTTTCTCCACATCCTGCCGAGTTCAGAAGCTGTGCCTTCTCCATGGTGGCAGAAGCTGAGAGGAGGGGTGCAGGACTCTACGTGTGAGGGTTTTTTTCATCTGGACTTATTTTCTTGGGGCACCTGCTGGACAGTGCTTGAGGCACACCTCAGGCTGGAGCTGCAGACCACCCCATAGACAGATGCCGTAGTTTGTGCTCCTACCTCCCACCCCATCAAGCATCTGTATTGTCACTCAAACACTTCTGGCCTGCAGAGACCATCCCGCCTGAGCCTGTAAATGTGAAACTGTCACCTGCACCCTGCTGGGCAAGTGGGCCTATCCAAGTTCAATTACAGGAACAATTTTTATGAAACTGATTAAAGCTTGTTTTTTAAGTGCTTTTTTAAGTGTTGTTTTAAGTGTTTTTTTAAGCTGTATCTTGTTCCTTCTTGGGCTCCATGCTGAGAGGACTCTCTTAATGCTGGCTGCACTAGCTGCCAGGCAAAAAGCTTTGATGTTAGGGCTTGCTTGTCCCCTCTCAACAAATGAAACTCGTGAAAGGAAGTAGCACTGCTGCCAGGGAAAGGCAGGCCTTTGTACTGGCAATGGGCAAGGTCTAGAGGCTTGGCCCTTGGGATAGCCACCTAGCAGGTCTTTATTTCATCTTATGTTGGAGATACTTGATTTAAATCAAATTTGGATCTTTCAGGAGACAATTAACCACCACATCTCACCCCTTTACACTACATGCAGCAATATGTCCACCACATGCCCTATAACAATAACCCAGTTCTGGCTTTCATGTAACTTTACTGAAAATCTTCAATGAAGGGTAAGGAAGGTGCTAGATCCAGGGGCAGTCGTGAGGTCCCATCACGCCTGCTTTCCCTTACCCCTGAATCTTCCACTGAGCTTCCTGCAGGCTCCCACCTACTACAGCCTGGGTGGTTGCACTGCCTGGGTCCCTGACACCCCAGGAAAGTGCAGAAAGATGGCACAAGGGAAGGCATCTTTAGGACCTAGGGCTTCTGCTTTCCACCGAAAAGCATCAGTTGACAAGAGGCCTTCCTAGTTCCACATGTGGCTTAGCACGGGCCTGGGCACATGGGACTGTGTTGTACATTTGAAACCAACATAAGATTGTATATCAATGATACTTCAATTCAAAAAAACATGCCTCCATTGATGCCTCCATTTCCAAATGTGGCAGGACACACCATGCCTCCATTTCCAACATGTGGCAGGACATACCATGTTAGCTGGACATGTGATTGAGCGCCTGGTCACGTTCTCCTTGACTAGACTGGATGCACCTGGCAGGGGCCAAGAGAGTCCAGGAGAATTTTATGGAGCATCTGTCACATGCAGGGCATCTGTCACCTTGGGACCCACAGCGGAAGGAGATCTGAGCATCTGCATCTTTTCAGAGCCCAGGCCTAGTTGGGGAGACAGACATACCAGGTAATTATTGAGAGGAGAGAGAGAGAAGACAGAGGCCACAGTTTCTGAGCGGGACATCAGTGATGCGAGGAGTGAGGACAGACTAGTGGGAGGAAAAGGCCTGAGCACAGCCCAGGGGACAGCGCAGAAAAGGTCCAGCATGATCCAACCGCAGGAAGGAAGGCACGAAAGGGAAGCAGCAGGCCTGTCAGGAACGGGCCCTGCTGTGGGGGACTGGAACCCTCACAGTCATGTCGGAGGGGACGTGGCACTGCTTGTGGTACTTCTACCCACGTGGCTGAGGCTGTTGGTGTCCTTCTTGTATGCCCTCAGACCACCTGCAGTCACCGCCAGCAGCTTCCTATGACTCGCCTGAGGTTGACGTCTGGTTCCAGGTGAGTGCCTGAATGCCCGGAGAAGGACCCTCACCCACTGAGGTGCAGGAGCTGGTGACTGAGCCCCCAGCTGACCCCACTTGGTGGGATGAACCAGGGGCACATTCTCCCCAGCTCTCAGAGTGTCCCCAGCAAGACTGAGTCCCAAAGGTCACCTGCCCACTAACACATTCATCATTGACTTTCTCCACTGTCCCACCCATCACAGGCATCCTGGGGCCACCTTCCAATCCCTCACATCCAAATCCTTGGGGAATCTGAGTGAGGACAGCCAGAATCTCCTGTTTCTCTGGGATCGACTCTTTGGGAAGGAGAACAAGCATCACAGAGAAGGTGGGAGAAGCAGTCTGAGGGTGGAGTTGCAGATGCCGCAGTGAAGGGGGGTGACTGCAGCTATATAGGTTGAGGCACCCTCGAAGTAAGGGTCTGTGTGAAATCCTTTCATTTACTCAGTTATTTGGACTGCCCTTTGTTTCAGAGAGGATTTAAAGCCACTTGTAACCACAGGCATGTAACATTCATGGTAGTTAGTTTAGGGTCATCCTGTGCCTTATGAAGTGACCTTGTCCCATTGTAAGAGCTTAGTCCTTAAAGTCACCACTTCAGCCCCAGCTACGTACTTTGGGCTCAGTGTCACCACTGATGGAAGTAACATGCTGAGTATGGAAGGGCAGAAAGAAGCCTAATTCTTGATATCACTGTGTATCAGTCATACAATTTTTCTGTTTTTTTTCTGTTGCCTGCATCTGGAATGATGATATCCTGAGATAGAAATGATCATAAATAAAAGAGCTAATGTAAGCCACTTATTGCTTAGGGTTTTTCTATTCTATTATACTTCCCTATCCTACATTTTCTTTTCAAAGTTTCACATCTTTACTTTTCAAAGGTAGTTCTTTAGTTCATCTGGAGTTGGGTTTTGCTTACGCGGGAGGTGGGAATCTAATTTTATTCTTTTCCATATGGATAGCTAATTGTCCTAGCATCATGTATTAAATAGTCCAAAACAGAATATAAGGTATTTTGGAGTAGATTTAATGAAAGTTGCTTAAGACCTTTACAGATAACATTGTAAAACTAAATGATGTAAATTTTAAAAACACTTAGATAAATGGACATCTAGCATGCTTACAGGTGGGAAGGTAATTCTCCTCTGAATTCATCTATTAATTCAGTGCCACCCCACCAAATCTTGAAGTGGGGTTTTATATGCCAAGACAAAACAAAACAAAAGTGAGCTAGGAAATTAGGGAAAATAAGACAAAGCCAGAGGTGAGGGCTCAGTAGTGTCAGAGGTGTGCCACACATTTCCCTTTGAAATCTTTGGCAACTGGTACACTGAAGGAAACATGATCCATTTTTATCTAAAAGATAAAAGCACAACATTATCAGGTAATTGCAGTATTTTCTGGAAATGGAGGGATTGGGGGTGATGGCTAAGGGGCACAGGGTTCCCTTTTTGGGGGTGAGAAAAATGTTTTTTTGAATTAAAGTATCATTGATATACAATCTTATGTTGGTTTCAAATGTACAACACAGTGGTTTAACAGTTTACCCATATTATTAAATCCTGGGGTTAAGGAAATGTTTTAAAATTGACTGTGGAGATGGTTGCATAACTTGGTGACTATCGCACTTTAAGCAGGTGAATTGTCTGGTACGTGATTTTATCTCAAGCAGGCTGTTAAAAAATGAAAAGGGAACCAAGATGGACACACAACAGGGCATCTGCTTTGCAGGTGTGAGCCGGGTGACTTCCTAGCAAACCGTCTAGGATCACTTGGCAGAAGTCAGGCCTCAGGAACTCTGCTGGGGACGTGCTCCAATGGCTGGCACCCACCAGTCTGGAGAAGCCTGGAGCATTCATTTCCCAGGGCCGACCTGGGAGGGCAGCCAGAGCCCTCTGCTGGCGACAATTAGCAGGCAGGCTGGACCCTGACCAAGACAAAGCCACATCCTCAGCCCGCAGGAGAATGCCTCCTTTTTTGTTCTTAAAAAAACGTTTGATTGAGATATTACATGCAAAAAAAGCACAGAAATCCCAAGTGAAAGCACGGAAGGTTTCTTTCTTTTTGCATGGTGGATTTCATGAACAGAACGCTTGCATGTGTCCAGCACCCAGGTAAGGCAATTGAAGAAGCCGGGTCCCCAGAAGTCCCCACATACCTCCTGCTAGTCATCACCCTGGAGGAAAACTACCCTGGCTCCCAACAGTGGGGTTCACTGCTGCCTGTCTGGGTCCGTACACACATGAGGTTCTGCAGTCTGTACTTCTTTGTGGGGCGTCTTTCACGGTAACAGATCGACCGCACTCCTCTCTCTCTATTAAACTGTCTGCTACTTTTCTGTTCTTTACAGCTGGTGGGCAGGACTGGGAAGGAGATAAAACAAACCTGAAGCTTGCACATTCATCCCTCGGGCTCCTGGGGGCCGGTGCTGGTCTTGGTGGCAAAGTGCCGGGGCGGGCCTCTGGCTGCCGGCCTGAGTCAGGAGCCCATGTGTAAAGCAATGGTAGGGGATGACCCCAAAGATGGTCCCTATTTGGGATAAACTCTTTAAGAGCCAGCTGCTCCTTGACCCGCAGCCCATTACAGGAGGATCCCACATGGCACTATGTGAACAGCACCCCCTGGAGTTGTGTAACATGGTGGCCCAGTTATCACACAACTTTTTGGAGAACAGGACTGGACTGTTCTTTACGTCAGGGCTGCCTGGTGCAAAGCTGCACCATCGCCCTGGTGCAGACCCTCTCCTGTCCTCCTCCCTTGTGCCAGAGATGAGGACTACGGCATCATGGTGAAGCCCTGGCCCAGCCCCTCTCCAGGGTGTGGCACGCTCCTGGCATAGTCTGCCCTGACGCCAAGGGCTGTGGGTGTCAGAGACCACAGATTCCAACATACGCAGGCCCTCAGAGAAAGGCTGGGCAGCATAAAAGTCTAGGAGACCATGTGCTTCAGTAAACCAAGGGTGGCGTTTGCACTGAGGGGCTTGTAGTCTCTCAAATCCCTTGGACTGAGGATTGGGAAAAGCTGCTGTAAAAGAGCAGGGAGATACACTGGGCAGCCTGAGGGCTCCTGCAGGCACAGCAGGGGATGCATCTTGCCTAAACAGAGAGCGCTGTGGCCTCCCGGATTCAAGTGGAGGTAGGAGCCAGGAGACCAGGAAGCAGTTGGCAAGACTTGGTCAGGTGGCCTGGGTTTGCCCTCCCTCCTGCCACTCACGAGCCGTGGGACCTCCAGCCCATGCTTATCCTCCTTGGGTCTCACTGGCTCAGCTGTAACACAGGATTGACCCCAGCCACAGAACCCCGGTTACATGGCGTTTGTGAGATGTGAACACCTGGAAGGTTGAGAAGACGTAATCAGTGAGAAAAATAAGGATTTTAAACTGAGAAGAAAATCAAAAGCCAGCAAAAACTTAACAATCAAAAATTATTTTTTGATAATGAAAACATTTTAAGAAATAGAGGAAATGTCCCAGATTAAAAGAGACTACAGACTTATAACCACTGATTGCAATAAATAACAACTAAATGCAATAACCCTCAGGCTGGATCCTGAACTGGAG